TGCAAGTTTGCTAGCACGAGCTTCAGCCGGACCAAGTTAATAGTTGATACAATGTTTGAAGTTTCTGGCTACGCATAGCCTGTCTGCAAATGTGATTTATAGGATTTGTATTTTTATCAGGATTTTTTTCTAACTGCAGGCTACAATGTTTTATTTTTTGTCTTTATGTAGGCTATTTTTACATATTGGTAATAGAAGTTACTTTTAGATTTGTATCACTTTAATTTAGATAGAATTATGAATAACCGAATTACATTGATTTTGAGATATGAAGACTTTATTATAACTGAAATGAAACTGTTCCACGAAAATGCGCATATAAAAATCATAACTGGCAAATGGTACAATAACTTGGCACTCCAAATGGAAAAGTTGGTGTGGCCTATTACCGGAAACTTCAGGAACGTAACGGCAGAATCTGCGAAGGCCACAGCGGGAGGAGGGGGGTTGGGTCGGGTACAGTTTTTTCTTTTTTCTTTTTCTTCTTCTTCTGGTTTGGCTATATTGATCTCTGGCTCCCTCCTTTAGTAATTTGTGTGTCTTCATTTTTAATCGCAGTGCTTAAAGCATCAGACAAGCTCAGTAGCCTACATATAGTTGATGTTATTCAAACATAGGGTGTGTCTATACAGTGCATTCGGAAAGTATTCAGACCCCTTGACTTTTTCCACATTTTGTTACGTTATAGCCTTATTCTAAAATGCATACAATTATTTTCTTCCTCAGTCTACACACAATACCCCATAATGACAAAGCGAAAACTGTTTTTTTGAAATATTTGCAAATGTACATAAGTATTCAGACCCTTTGCTATGAGACTCGAAATTGAGCTCAGTTGCATCCTGTTTCCATTGATCATCCTTGAGATGTTTCTACAACTTGATTGGAGTCCATCTGTGGTAAATTCAATTGATTGGTTTGGAAAGGCACACACCTGTCTATATAATGTTCCACATTTGACAGTGCATGTCAGAACTCCAGAGTTCCACTGTGGAGATGGAACAACCTTCCAGAAGGACAACCATCTCTGCAGCGCTCCACCAATCAGTCCTTTTATGGTAGAGTGGCCAGACGGAAGCTACTCATCAGTCTGATGAAACCAAGTTTGAACTCTTTGGTGAAGCATGGTGGTGGCAGCATCATGCTGTGGGAATGTTTTTCAGCGGCAGGTACTGGGAGACTAGTCAGGATCGAGGGAAAGATGAACGGAGCAAAGTACAGAGAGATCCTTGATGAAAATCTGCTCCAGAGCGCTCAGGACCTCAGACTGGGTTGAAGGTTCATCTTCCAACAGGACAACGACCCTAAGCACACAGTCAAGACAACGCAGGAGTGGCTTCGGAACAAGTCTCTGAATGTCCTTGAGTGGCCTGGACTTGAACCCGATCAAACATCTCTGGAGAGAAAATAGCTGTGCAACGACGCTCCCCATCCAACCTGACAGTTTGAGAGCATCTGCAGAGAAGAATGGGAGAAACTCCCCAAATCCAGGTGTGCCAAGCTTGTAGCGTCATACCCAAGAAGACTCGAGGCTGTAATCGCTGCCGAAGGTGCTACAACAAAGTACTGAGTAAAGGGTCTGAATACTTATGTAAATGTGATATTTCCATTTATTTATTTTTTAACTGTTTTTGCTTTGTCATTATGGTTTGCTTTGTCTAGTTTATCAATTTTAGAATAAGGCTATAACGTAACAAAATGTGGAAAAAGTCAAGGGCTCTGAATACTTTCCGAATGCAATGTATATGGAAAGATACACGTTTTAACATTTCGAAAGAACAGACGACTCTTGGTCAACCAAGATTTTCTTTAGTCGGGTCAGCCCTAGATTCCAGCCACACAAGCCATAGACTGTTCTCTCTGCTTCCGCACGGCAAGCGGTACCGGTGCATCAAGTCTGACACCAACAGGCTCCTGAACATATTCAATCCCTAAGACATAAGGCTTCTAAATAGCTAACAAAATGGCTACGCGGATTATCTTAGTTGACTATTGTATGTGTGGAGGATTTTTTATGCGCTGTCTCCATGTACAATCACAGGACTCTACACGCACACTGACATTCCAACACATACACTCCATTTGCTCATACACATAACATGCTCACACAATTATACTGACTCTACACAAACACACACCCACACTCACATACAATCATCATATATGCTGCTGCTACTCTGTTTATCATATATCCTGATGGCTAGTGACCTATATATCTACTGCTATCACTCCAGTATCCCTGCACATTGTAAATATAATATTCTTACATACACTAGATGGTCATAAGTATGTGGACACCCCTTCAAATTAGTGGATTCGGCTATTTCAGCCACACCCGTTGCTTACAGGTGTATAAGATCGAGCACACAGCCATGCAATCTCCATATTTTAACATTGGCAGTAGAATTGCCCGTAATGAAGAGCTCAGTGACTTTCAACGTGGCACCGTCATAGGATGCCACCTTTCCAACAAGTCAGATCATCAAATTTCTGCCCTGCTAGAGCTGCCACGGTCAACTGTTAAGTGCTGTGAAATGGAAACGTCTAGGAGCAACAAACGGCTCAGCTGCGAAGTGGTAGGCCACACAAGCTCACAGAACGGGACTGCCGATTTACAACTGCGACCTGGCCAAGATAAAGCAAAGCGGTGCGATTAAAAACAACAACATATAGTTACACATGGGATAAAACAAAACATACAGTCAATAACACAATAGAAAATCTATATACAGTGTATGCAAATGTAGTAAGTTATGGAGGTAAGGCAATAAATAGGCCATAGTGCAAAATAATTACAATTTAGTATTAACACTGGAATGATAGATGTGCAGAAGATGATGTGCAAATAGAGATACTGGGATGCAAATTAGCAAAATAAATAACAATATGAGGTAGTTGGGTGGGCTAATTACAGATGGGCTGTGTACAGGTGCAGTGATCGGTAAGCTGCTCTGACAACTGATGCTTAAAGTTAGTGAGGGAGATAAGTCTCCAGCTTCAGAGATTTTTGCAGTTTGTTCCAGTCATTCGCAGCAGAGAACTGGAAGGAATGGCGGCCAAAGGAGGTGTTGGCTTTGGGGATGACCAGTGAGATATACCTGCTGGAGCGCATACTACGGGTGGGTGTTGCTATGGTGGCCAATGAGCTAAGATAAAGCGGGGATTTGCCTAGCAGTGATTTATAGATGACCTGGAGCCAGTGGGTTTGGCGACGAATATGTAGTGAGGGCAGCCAACGAGAGCGTACAGGTCACAATGGTGGGTAGTATATGGGGCTTTGGGGACAAAACGGATGGCACTGTGAAAGACTGCATCCAATGTTACGTGCTGAAGCGCGCAGCACGTAAAAATCATCTGTACTCGGTTGCAACACTCACTACCAAGTTCCAAACTCTTTTTTTCTTCTTTGTTTTATGTGTTTTTGTTCTACCTTGTTATTTTTAGTATTACATTGTTATTGATTACTGCATTGTTGGGTTTAGTGCTTGCAAGGCATCTCACTGTACTTGTGCACGTGACATTAAACCTGTGTTACAGGTGGTCTAACGCTGTGTTCCTTCTGCTCTTCTGTTCCCCTCTTTAGTGGCTCACTGTGCGTCGTCCAGACAGATCATCTCACACTGGAAGAACTGTACGCGGCACGACTGTCCTGTCTGCCTGCCGCTAAAGAACGCCAGCGACAAGAAGAACCAGCAACGTGAGTAGTACACACACACACTGATCTAGGATCAGTTTACTTGCTCCCCATATATCAACCATTAGGGTGAAAACCCAAAACTTAACTTAGATCATTAACTAGAGATCACCTCATCCTACTCCATGAGTACTTCATCATCCATAAGACAGCGCCACCTGTAGGATATTTATATACCAGGCGTGTGTTTCACTAGCCTGGTCTTAGATATGTTTGTGCTGTCTTGCCAATGACCATAGATCTTGACAAGACGGCACAAACAGATCTGGGACCAGGCTAGCGCTCGATGAGCAAGAGTGGACTCCTGCTGGGTTTGTAATCCGAGACGCAGGAGGGATAGGAGGAGAGGAGAGGAGGAATGGGATGAAGGGAGGCATGGAGGGTGTGTGGGTGTCCTGCCGTGCGATTGGCTGGTGGGCTGATGATTCATTTAAACCCCCCACCACCACCGTGCTGAGATGACTGCCTGCCTCCGTGGATGCTTTTTTCTCTCTGCTTTCTTGTTCTCTCACTCTAATTGCTCCCTCTCTTTTTCTCTCTCCCTCTTTCTCCATCTCCTTGCCTTACTCTACTTTCTTGTTTATTCCTCTTGCTCTTTTACTCTTTCTTTCTCTCTCTCTCTGCTCTCTTTCTCCGCTTGCTCATTCTCTCTCCCTCTGCTCAGCATCTTTCATCACTCTGTTCTTCAGAGAGTTTTTCTCTCTGTCTGATTCGCATGCTGGAAAGCACAATGGCACCACTGACTTTACTCCTGCCAGTGTAAATGGCAAGCAGCGTTTCTGTTCGGTCTCCTCTGATTTTTAGTCTTAGGGTGCGTCCCAAATTGCACCCTATTCCCTACATAGTGCACTGTGGGTCCTGGTCTAAAGTAGTGCAATATAGGGAATAGGGTGCCATTTGGCATGCAGACTTAGAGTGGTATGTTGGCTGAACTCTATTTAATATGCGGATTGTACACATGTAATACCCCTGAAGGAATTTCTACAGCTCTTGTGTGTCACAATGTGGTTGAACCACTAAGATTAGAACCATATCTGCTGTTTCACACGGTTATCCCATAGCAAGTAAAGTTTCAAGAATGTCCTCTTGGAGGACAATAAATATCAATCAATCAAGTTATGAAAGCTTTGTGTGTGTGTGTGTGTGTGTTCTGATTGTGTGTATACATGAATGTGTGCGTACATGACCATGGGTATAGTGGAGTTTGATTACATTGTATAGGACTATAGCTAACAGCATATGTTTATCAAAGTCAAATCAATCAAAATCAACGTAAACCAGAATCTCTCTCCCTCCTCCTCCAGCCTTGCTGAGTTCCCCCAACGCTGCCCTCCAGAACTCCCTGGCCTCTGTGGTCTCTGGCCCCCCCAGCACCCCCTCCCTCAACACCCCCACCCCCATTGATCCCTCCTCCATGCAGAGGGCCTACGCCGCCCTGGGCCTGCCCTACAGTAACCAGACCCCCACCCCCGGACAGACCCCCCCAGGGGGACAGAACGCTACCCAAGGGCAGCATCCACAGCAGATGAGACCCATCAATGCACTAGGTAAAGATTGGTTTTGTTGTGTGTTAGCCATGTATAGCAGGGCTGTGTTCATTAGGACACTTAACAGAAGACATTTGGAAATGTTTTGAAATGGGAATTAGTGTTTTATTGGACCAGTTCAGGTGGTCCCGCCCTGTTTCAATCAATTTTCTGTTTGCTGCCTAATGAGCACGACCCAAGGTGTGTCAGTTTGGGATAAGTGTTTGATTAAGGGACCATGGTTTAGTCAGTCTCCATTGGACCTTGCTCAACAGGTTTTATTGTTTAGTTAACCGTCTAGTAACAGTTTCTACTTAATTTAACTGCGTAAACATTAAAGCGTGTGTGTGCTTCTGTCTTGTGTGTGGCGCGACGTGTGTGTAATACAATCTTAACTTGCATCTAGACACACATACAGATTCTAACGTGCCGTGTCGCTGTTTCTCCAGGTAACCAGATGGCGATGGGGGGCGGGGCGATGGGCGTGGCCTCATCAGATCAGACCAACCTGCACTCGGACTCTCCCAACAAGTGAGTCTCAGCAAACATATGTAATGCCTTGGAGCTGTGCCAAGGAATCAATTGATTGAATTGAAGTGGTTATTCAACAAACTATTGCTTTAGCTGAGAGTAAATAGATCAAGTGACTGAAACTGCAAGTAAAACACAAAAGAAGGCATATAGCACGATCATGGATAATAAGTTAATTGGCCCCACTTAGCTGTATTGAAGAACCTCTCACATAGGTTTCCATATGAATTGACTTGTTGACACAGCACCAGACTTAACTGAATTGTAACTTCTCATGAGTTTATGTTCAGGCCTATGTAAAATGTTTTCCCTTGTCCTAATCTCACCCTCTCCTCTCCTCCCCCTCTCAGTCAGCTGCTGTCCGACGGGTCAGGTGTTGGCTCCATGGGGGGTAGCCTGCCCACCGCCGCCCCCCTCTCAGCCACGGGAGTCAGGAAGACCTGGCATGAACACGTCACTCAGGACCTCCGCAACCACCTCGTCCACAAACTGTACGTCCAGATGGCTGCAGTGGGAAAACGACCATAGAAAACCGTTAAAATACTCTTATCTCAATGGAATATTAAACACAAGTCTCACAGAGCCGTGGTTCAGTTCCAAAGCAGTGGTTTTGTATTGTGACTCACCGGAAGCCTTTAGATTTTTTTATCGTCACCCACCACACAAACAGAACTTCCTAGCCATAACAACTCGCATCCACTTTTATCAGAAGCTCAGTAATGAGAAAGTCATGTTCTTATTAAGGCTACATAAGCAGTGAATCACTTGAAAATAGTCTAGAGACTCTGAGTCTTTCCCATATTCATTAGTTTGTTTATTCATTGCCTCTTCTCTCTCCCTCCCCCTCTCCTTCTCTCTGTCCAGAGTACAAGCCATTTTCCCCACCCCAGATCCGGCCGCTCTAAAGGACAGGCGGATGGAGAACCTGGTGGCATACGCTAGGAAGGTGGAGGGGGACATGTACGAGTCTGCCAACAGCAGGGTACGAGAGCTAGGAAGGTGGAAGGGGACATGTACAGTGCATTCGGAAAGTATTCAGACCCCTTGACTTTTTCCACATTTTGCTACGTTACAGCCTTATTCTAAAATTGATTAAATTGTTGTTTTTTTCCTCAACAATCTACACACAATACCCCATAATGACAAGGCAAAAAAAGGTTTTTAGAAAATAGCACATTTACATAAGTATTCAGACCCTTTACTCAGTACTTTGTTGAAGCACCTTTGGCAGCGATTACAGCCTTGAGTCTTCTTGGGAATTACGCTACAAGCTTGGCGCACCTGTATTTGGGGAGTTTCTCCCATTCTTATCTGCAGATCCCATCGAGCTCTGTCAGGTTGGATGGGGAGCGTCGCTGCACAGCCATTTTCAGGTCTCTCCAGAGATGTTCGATCGGGTTCAAGTCTGGGCTCTGGCTGGGCCACTCAAGGACATTCAGAGACTTGTCCTGAAGCCACTCCTGCGTTGTGTTGGCTGTGTGCTTAGGGTCGTTGTCCTGTTGGAAGGTGAACCTTCGCCCCAGTCTGAGGTCCTGAGCGCTTTGGAGCAGGTTTTCATCAAGGATATCTCTCTGTACTTTGCCCCGTTCATCTTTTCCTCGACCCTGACTGGTCTCCCAGTCCCTGCCGCTTAAAAACATCCCCACAGCATGATGCTGCCACCACCATGCTTCACTGTAAGAATGGTGCCAGGTTTCCTCCAGATGTGACACTTGGCATTCAGGCCAAAGAGTTAAATCTTGGTTTCATCAGACCAGAGACTCTTGTTTTTCATGGTCAGAGTCCTTTAGGTGCCTTTTTTAGTCCCGTGTAGCTCAGTTGGTAGAGCATGGCGTTTGCAACATTTTACATTTTACATTTTAGTCATTTAGCAGACGCTCTTATCCAGAGCGACTTACAGGAGCAATTAGGGTTAAGTGCCTTGCTCAAGGGCACATTAACGTCATTTAGCAGACGCTCTTAGCCAGAGCGACTCACAAATTGGTGCGTTCACCCTATAGCCAGTGGGATAACCACTTTACAATTTGGGGGGGGGGGGGTTAGAAGGAATACTTTATCCTATCCCAGGTATTCCTTAAAGAGGTGGGGTTTCAAATGTCTCCGGAAGGTGGTGAGTGACTCCGCTGTCCTGGCGTCGTGAGGGAGCTTGTTCCACCATTGGGGTGCCAGAGCAGCGAACAGTTTTGACTGGGCTGAGCGGGAGCTATGCTTCCGCAGAGGAAGGGGAGCCAGCAGGCCAGAGGTGGATGAACGCAATGCCCTCGTTTGGGTGTAGGGACTGATCAGAGCCTGAAGGTACAGAGGTGCCGTTCCCCTCACTGCTCCATAGGCAAGCACCATGGTCTTGTAGCGGATGCGAGCTTCAACTGGAAGCCAGTGGAGTGTGCGGAGGAGGGGGGTGACGTGAGAGAACTTGGGAAGGTTGAACACCAGACGGGCTGCGGCATTCTGGATGAGTTGTAGGGGTTTAATGGCACAGGCAGGGAGGCCAGCCAACAGCGAGTTGCAGTAGTCCAGACGGGAGATGACAAGTGCCTGGATTAGGACCTGTGCCGCTTCCTGTGTAAGGCAGGGTCGTACTCTCCGAATGTTGTAGAGCATGAACCTGCAGGAGCGGGTCACCGCCTTGATGTTGGCGGAGAACGACAGGGTGTTGTCCAGGGTCACGCCTAGGCTCTTCGCACTCTGGGAGGAGGACACAGCGGAGTTGTCAACCGCAACGCCAAGGTTGTGGGTTCGATTCCCACGGGGGGCCAGTATGAAAATGTATGCACTCACTAACTGTAAGTCGCTCTGGATAAGAGCGTCTGCTAAATGACTAAAATGTAAAATGTTTTGGGAAACTCCAAGCAGGCTGTCATGTGCGTTTTACTGAGGAGTGGCTTCAGTCTGTCCACTCTACTATAAAGGCCTGATTGGTGGAGTGCTGCACAGATGGTTGTCCTTCTGGAAGGTTCTCCCATCTCCACAGAGGAACTCTGGAGCTCTGTCAGAGTGACCATCGGGTTCTTGGTCACCTCCCTGACCAAGGGCCTTCTCCCCTGATTGCTCAGTTTGGCCGGGCAGCCAGCTCTAGGAAGAGTCTTAGTGGTTCCAAACTTCTTCCATTTAAGAATGATGGACGCCACTGTGTTCTTGCGGACCTTCAATGCTGCAGAAATTGTTTCGTACCCTTCCCCAGATCTATGCCTCGACACAATCCTGTCTCTGAGCTCTACGGACAATTCCTTGGACTTCATGGCTTGGTTTTTTCTCTGACATGCACTGTCAACTGTGCGACCTGATATAGACAGGTGTGTGCCTTTCCAAATCATGTCCAATCAATTGAATTTACCACAAGTGGACTCCAGTCAAGTTGTCGAAACATCTCAAGGATGATCAATGGAAACAGGATGCACCTGAGCTCAACTTCGAGTCTCATAGCAAAGGGTCTGAATACTTATGTAAAGGTCTCTGGAGAGACCTGAAAATGGCTGTGCAGCGACACTCCCCATCCAACCTGACAGAGCTTGAGGGGATCTGCAGAGAAGAATGGGAGAAACTCCCCAAATACAGGTGTGCCAAGCTTTGTAGCGTCATACCCAAGAAGACTTGAGGCTGTAATCGCTGCCAAAGGTGCTTCAACAAAGTACTGAGTAAAGGGTCCGAATACTGTAAATGTGATATTTCCGTTAAAACATTTTTTTTTTTAAATAGCAAAAATGTATAACCCGTTTTCGCTTTGTCATTATGGGTGTAGATTGATGAGAGAAAAAAAAGATACAATCCTTTTTAGAATAAGGCTGTAACGGAACAAAATGTGGAAAAAGTCAAGGGGTCTGAATACTTTCCGAATGCACTGTACGAGTCTGCCAACAGCAGAGTACACAGCTCACATTCCCCACAAACAAGCCCCTTGAATAGTCCTCAGTGTCCTGCTTTTCTCTCTATCAGTTTGTGCTCTTACCAACACTTGAGCACTGAAGTTGATGAGCCATAGTGACGGTAAACTAGTTGTTATGCATTCTACTAGTTTTTAGACTGCTAGATTGTTTTCAACTACATTACCCAACCGTTTTATTCACTCATTTGTCTCCCCTCCAGGACGAGTACTACCACTTCCTGGCAGAGAAGATCTATAAGATCCAGAAGGAGCTGGAGGAGAAGAGGAAGTCTCGGCTCCAGAAACAGATCATCAACCAGGGGCCTCTGGCGGCTGCAGGAGCCCAACAGCAGCCTGGAGGTCTCCCCCAGCCCAACACCCTGGCTGGGCAGCCTGTTAGGCCACAGAGTGAGTACCAAGCCATAACCCTAAACCCTAACACTCTGGAGGTGGTAGTAGTAGTGGTGGTGGTAAGTCCAAAACCAGGGCTTTTATTTCTTAAACCTTTTGGGGTTGTTTTTTTGTCATCTTTCTTGCTCTTTGTTTGAATGTATTTCCCTTTGTTTGCTGCTCTCCTCCAACCCCTGACCTTATCCTGCTGTCTTTCTGTGCTTCCTCATCCTCCTCTTCCTCAGACGGGCCAGTGTCTATTCCCAATGTGCCAAATCAGATCATGAATCGCATGCAAATTCCTCAAGGTACCAACCCCACCCTAGGTTTTCTTATTTAAGGCAATTTGTGTGTGTGTGGTGTGAATCTGCATATTCGTGTCGATCAATTTGACGTATGTGCTTGGCATCTCTCTATGAGTGTGTTGTGCGTCATGTCCTGTGTGTGTGTGTGTGTCTTGTCTGACATTGTGCTCCACCTCTCCTCTGCAGGGCTCAGTCAGTTCAGCCCCATGGCCCTGCCCAACATCCAGATGTCCCAGCAGCCTCTAGGGCCCCGTGCCGCCTCCCCCATGAACCACCCCACACAGATCAACATGGGCTCCGTCCCCTCCGTGAGTACCACCCCCCAACACACACACACACACACACACACACTAGGCTGTACAAGGGAGGGTGGGATGGAGAGAGAGGTGGGGGATAGAGAGAGAGAGAGAGAGAGAGAGGGGGATGGAGAGCGAGCTCGTACTCCCCAGCGTTCCCTTATAACGCTCAGTGGCGTCACGGCGACAGTTCTTTAGTAAAACCGAAGCGTGGGATGAGGGAGTTACAGGGGTCACGTTTCAGCACACAAGGCACCATTTTATTTTTGTTTTCCCAGCGCTTTGAGTCAGTCAGAGCGCCGCTTGTGCACTGATGACGCCGCCTTGTCGAGAGCTCTCGTGATAATTGATGATCTCTCCCGTTTTATAGACAACCCCTCTGTTGGTGCTGTCTGGGAAGAGAAGTCACAGTGACTAATTGAAATGGCAAACTGTTGCGATGCGGACTGATTTTATTCTGATTTGAAGTTGGTAGTCTCATAGGGTTTAAGGGATATATATGAAATGATGCTGTCTTTTAGGGGCCCCAAACTATAGCATTAAGGCTGACATACTCCTCTCCTTATGCTTCATTGTATTTGTGTAAATCTAGGATTTGATTGATTGGTTCTCCTATTACCCCGGTAACACTCCCTCTCTCCTCCTCAGATGGGTCTGTCTCCCTCGCGGATGCCCCAGGCCCAGGGAATGCTGGGAGCCCGCGGCGGCGGCAGCATGGTGGGCCAGACAGCCAATCAGAACAGTCAGTTCCATCCCCCTCAGACCCCATTCCCCCCCTCTGCCTCCGGCGCCATGAACGCTAACAACCTGGGTCTAGGCCAGCCCCCAGCACAGGCTGCTGTCACACAGGTGAGAGATGGAGAGATGGAGAGATGAAGGGAGGGAGGGAGGGTTAGAAAGATGGGAGGGAAGGCCTGGGCTACTGTCACAAGGGTGAGAGATGGATGGATGGATGGAGGGAGAGAGAGAGGGATGGTTTCAATGCCCCACTAAATCAGTAACCATCACAACTCACACACTGACTATCATGAGGTTCCCTTAACTCAAGTCTCTGTGTGTGTTTGGTTGACGTGTGTCTAATCGTCTGTCTGTTGTATGTCTGTGTGTCTTCCTGTGTCTTCTGGTGTGTGTGTGTGTGTGTGTGCGCACCTCCTCTCTCCCTACAGCAGTCGCCGCAGCAGCAGAGCGCTAACCTCCCCATGAGTGCACTTGGTCCCCTGGGCCCCCAGCTCCCCTCCCAGCCCCCCCTGCGCTCCACTCCTCCACCCTCCTCCTCTTCCTCCGCAGGGGGGTCCACAACTAACCTGCAGCCCCCCAAGCCCTCCAGCCGCAGCTCAACCCCCACCCTCTCCACCCCTGGTCCTTCCAACACCCCTCCCCGCCCAACCCCGACCCAGCCTCCTCAACCCCAGCCACATACCCCCCTCCAGCCACAGACTCAGTCCCAACCCCAACCGGAGCTTCCTACAGTGCAGACCCAGCAGACCCCGACCACGCCGGTGAGAGACCTGAGACCGCATGGCATGCCCTTCGACCTTGTACCTCCAACCTACGGCATCCCTTCCTAACCTCTCCGTTGACCATGCCATCTTGTGTTCTAGCTGCATGACGACCATGGAATGTCTCATCTGTCAAGCAAACTCACTGTATTCTCTCACTCACTGTTTTGAGAAATTGTGAAGAACTTGCTCTCCACTAATTGCTTGTTTGACCCTCTTTTTGTAATTCTTCCGTTTCCCCCTCTTTTTCTTTCTTTTGCTCTCTCCCTCTCGCTCCTCTTTTTCTCGCTTGCGGTCTTCCTCTCTCTCACTCTTGCTCTCTCTCCTCTCTCTCTTTTTCAGCTTTCTCAGACAGGTGCCAGTCTGGATAACCGGGTGCCCACCCCGGCTTCTGCCGCCAGCGGCGACTTGCATTCGCACTCCCAGCATGCTTTGCCTGACCTGCCAGCCCAGGAGACCAAGGCCGAGCCGCGGCTTAGGGACCAGCGGGACTTTGAGTCGGCCAGCGGCAAGACCGAGCCCAAGATGGAGGTGTGTTTGTTGTTTGTTAATGTATTCATTAATTCAGGCTTGGTTAGGCTGTGCTCCAGAAGTAATATAGTCAGTCCATTTCATTAGACAATAAATGTTGAATCATAGAAATAGAAGCTATGAATCACATGGGTTATACTGTAAACAAGGCATTTCTTCTAGCTTTATTAATCGCCCATCTTTACTTCCTGTTTCCAGACTGAGGAGGACTCTGGTTCGCTGTCAGTGAAGGAGGAGCCAGAGGAGAAGCAGGAGCCAATGGAGACTGAGGAGAAGAAGCCGGAGATGAAGACTGAGCCCAAAGAGGAGGAGGAGGAGGGGGGAGGAGCCAATGGCACAGTGTCCTCATCCCCTTCTCAGTCACGGAGGAAAAGTGAGTACTACACACGTCTCTCTCTCTCTCTCTCTCTCTCTCTCTCTCTCTCTCTCTCTCTCTCTCTCTCTCTCTCTCTCTCTCTCGCCATCTCTCTGTCTCTCTCTCTCTCTCTAGCCATCTCTATCTTTCCCTCAAGAAGGGACTAGGGACAGGACAAGGAATTGGTCTAGGATGAAACTTAGAGAAACCCCTACTAAATCTCTCTTTCTCTACCCCCCACCCCTCTTCTCTCCGTCTCTGCTCCAGTCTTTAAGCCAGAGGAGCTGCGCCAGGCCCTCATGCCCACCCTAGAGTCTCTTTACAGACAGGACCCAGAGTCTCTACCCTTCAGACAGCCTGTAGACCCCATGGTACTGGGCATCCCGGTGAGGACACACAGACACGCTACAGACAGGACCTATAGCCTTTACCCTTTAGACAGCCTGTAGACCCCATGTTGCAGGGCATCCCTGTAAGTAGCCCACCCCTTAAACCACTCCATAGATAGCCACAGAGCTCAAACACACGTCTTCAGTTGTTTCACCTGAAACTTCCAGTCCAGCAAATCTGAATTATACTCCTAATGTTTTAGGATGAATCACGGGTTATATTCACTTTATTTTCTATGAAAAGATGAAAGTCTTACCTTTTTGCCCATGTCCGCATACATTTGTTAGAAGGTGTAGCATTTGACTGACGCTCTCTGATGAACAACTGACTTTCTTCTCTCCAGGACTACTTTGACATCGTGAAGAACCCCATCGACCTGTCCACCATAAAGCGTAAGCTGGACACGGGTCAGTACCAGGAGCCCTGGCAGTACGTGGAAGACATCTGGGTCATGTTCAACAACGCCTGGATCTACAACCGCAAGACGTCCCGCGTCTACAAGTACTGCTCCAAGCTGGCCGAGGTGTTTGAGCTGGAGATAGACCCCGTTATGATGAGCCTTGGCTACTGCTGCGGCCGCAAGGTGAGATGGAGGGATGGGAGGGGAGATGGAGGGGTGATGATGGAGGGATGGGAGGCTAGATGGAGGGGTGATGATGGAGGGATGGGAGGCTAGATGGAGGGGTGATGATGGAGGGATGGGAGGCTAGATGGAGGGGTGATGATGAGATGGGAGGCTAGATGGAGGGGTGATGATGGAGGGATGGGAGGCTAGATGGAGGGGTGATGATGGAGGGATGGGAGGCTAGATGGAGGGGTGGGATGCTAGATGGAAGGGGATGGGAGGCTAGATGGAGGGGTGATGATGGAGGGATGGGAGGCTAGATGGAGGGGTGATGATGGAGGGATGGGAGGCTAGATGGAGGGGTGATGATGGAGGGATGGGAGGCTAGATGGAGGGATGATGATGGAGGGATGGGAGGCTAGATGAGGGTGGAGCTAGATGAGGGTGATGGATGATGGGAGGCTAGATGGAGGGGGTTATGTGAGGGATGGGAGGATGGAGGGGAGTGATTGGAGGGATGTGATGAGGAGGCTAGATGAGGGAGGTAGTGATGAGGGAATGGGAGGGATGAGGAGCTAGATGGATGGGTTGATGATGGAGGGAGGAGGCTAGATGGAGGGATGATGATGGAGGGATGGAGGCTAGATGGAGGGTGATGATGGAGGGATGGGAGGCTAGATGGAGGGATGATGATGGAGGGATGGGAGGCTTGCTGGAGGGATGATGATGGAGAGAGGGAGGGCAGGCAGAGATTTTTTGCATCACTGAAATGAACTTTTCTTGCAAATCTGTATTCTAACGTTCTTGTTGTCCACTTCCTGTGCAGTATGAGTTCTCTCCTCAAACTCTCTGCTGTTATGGTAAGCAGCTGTGCACCATACCCACCGGTGGCACCTACTACAGCTACCAGAACAGGTAAGAAGAGTTGCCTCTCCCTGCGCTAAATGGTAGAGTGCTCACTCAGAAACTGCCCCCTTGCTCCTCCTGGTGTTCAGGTCATGTAACTGCAGCTTTGGAATGGCGTTGTGCAGCACAGCGGCCGTGGTGTGTGGATAGATAGCATAACGCTGTAACACGAGGCAGCATGGTCTGGGACCGTACTAATAAAGAGTGCTGATCTAGGATCAGTTTTGCCTTTTAGATCACACTGTATGATAACGGGGACCTGATCCTAGATCAGCACTCCTTTGCGGAGATGCTTTATGAATATACAGGCCCTGATCTCTCCTGCAGCATGGTCTACTATTCCGACACTCCCAAGTCCTAATGGAAAGATTTGAAGTCAAACGAGAAAGTACTATACATCTCAGATAGGAATGGCTTTTCTGATGTTCATATATGCACTGACAACCTTTAGGTAGTCATCCTATTTCAGATCTATACATTTAGCAGACTCTTTTATCCAGAGCGACTTAGTTAATGCATTCAACTTAAGGTAGCTGGGTACGACAACCACAATTCAGTCATATCAAGTTGAGGCGAGTGGACGTTTTAAATGTCTGTTGGTGGTCTTTGGGCCTAGTGCCATTTTCTGTGGTCCATATGCTAGAATGTGTGTGTGTGTCGTCTTGTTCCAGGTATCATTTCTGTGAGAAGTGCTTCAATGAGATCCAGGGGCACAGTGTGACGTTAGGGGACGACCCGGCACAACCACAGACGTGAGTCAACCCCTCCTTACCTTATTATACTCCAGTTCACTTCATTCACCTCATTCAAACTCCAATAGGATCTTGTGTTTTTATATTCAGGTATTTGCAGTAAATGTATGTTTCATGTCATGATTTAGCCGTGTAATCTAACTAGTCTTCTCTGCCTCTTCAGAATGATATCTAAAGACCAGTTTGAGAGGAAGAAGAATGACACGCTAGACCCTGAACCGTAAGCCTCTTTAACTAGTTGCTCTTCTAGGTGCCATCTGTATGTGTATGGCTCAGACTCACTCTGTATACCTTTCATATCAGCCTGCTGCTCCTGCAGGTAGCCCTACTAGACCTCCTGGTCTGCTCTGAAGCGCCATCTGGTGTTTAGTTTTATGTCAGTGTCCTAGGGAAGCATTTCAACATGTACACTTTTGGCCACGTGCTTGATTTTCAATAGGCAACATAAGAGCCACTCATAGATCTCGAACTTTTGCTCACCTTTTAATTGCCGTTCTATCTACACATTTGAGGTTTATTGTAACGACAAGTATATTTGTTATTAATATATAAATTAATAATGGCCTACATATGAGTCTTGTGTTCCAACCCCTCCTACAAAGGCGCACTTGCATTGGTCTGCTTGCACGTGCGTAAGAACTGGAGGCATATTAAGTGAATGTTGATCTCTCTATGGCTTCCTACTCTAGCAGTCAAGCCAATCAGCACTCTTACATATCGTGAACAGTACAATTTGGACAAGAAGAAAAACTGTTGACCTAAATGGGAGACATAACGGGTATAGCTGTTAATGGGTTTCTGTAGCAAACCAAGATGTTTTGTTTTTGTCACCAGGTTTGTTGACTGTAAAGATTGCGGTCGGAAGATGCATCAGATATGTGTTCTACACTATGACGTCATCTGGCCATCCGGGTAAACATTCTGACTCTGACAGTGACACAGAATGGTGGGAAGAAGTTTTATTCGATACCAGTTACATTAATTACTTTTTTTTTTTTTTTTTCACAGATTCATCTGTGACAACTGTTTGAAGAAGAGTGGGAAAACACGGAAGGACAACAAGTTTTCTGCAAAAAGTAAGTCCTCTTTTCCATTCCCTGGCTATAAGCCACATCTTAAAGCGGCAATTCGCAGTTGAAACAATAACTAAGCGTTTTCACTGCCCCTGTTTCGGTAAAAAGCTGAGTGATGGGGCTGGAGAAATGTACCCACTTTCAAATTCATAGACAAGCTATGGATGCAAGGACTGACCATCCGTGATATCAAAAATGTAGTTTTATTAAAGGCTTTGGTTATATTTACTTTGTTTACAAACATTGGAGTAAAACAGCTAATTTTGGGTTCTGATGTGGTACAACTGTTGAACTGAGCTCATGAGGCATTGATAAGTTATATTCTTCAATAATAAATGGGTACATTCTGTATCAATCCTTCAAGCCCACAAATTGATGTAGCAACAGCTGATTTCCCCTTTAAGGGTATTGGAATATTTAGCCAATTCCTTGTCATGCAATATCTAGAAAAAGCCCAAACCTTTTGAATATCTGTGTAATAATAGCCTAGTTATTCAAGCTTTACAGAAGCCTTTCTCTAAATGACAAACCACTTCCATATGGTGAATGTCATGGACTTATGACATCAAGAGATCACTGGCTTTCTCCAATTACCTGCAGTAGCTCTTTGCATTGTTTTGTCTCTGGCATTTGTAGTACTAGAGAGCGTGTTTGACCTTTCCATGCACATGGCATTAAGCTAAATTAGACTCTGTCTGCACATTTATTCATACATAAAACATTCCCTGCTGAATGAAGGCTTGGTTTGTGACCTTTTTGGACCAATCTCTCTGTGTGTGTTTGCGTGTGTGTGTGTGTGTGTGTGTGTGTGTGTGTGTGTAGGGTTGCAGACGACGCGGTTGGGCATGTACATCGAGGACCGGGTGAATAAATACCTGAAGAGGCAGAACCACCCTGAGGCAGGGGAGGTGTTCGTACGAGTGGTGGCCAGCTCCGACAAAACTACAGAGGTCAAACCTGGCATGAAATCCAGGTAGGGACTGAGGAGTGGACACTCACATGTAGTGCACTACCTAACATTTTAGTGTACTTACGGTACTCAAATTTAGCGCACTACTTTAGTTGTGCAGGCACTTTTGCAGCATGCAAGGAGGTCTTGTCTGTACCTCAACATAGTCAATACACTAAGTATTTGTCCAAACTCCTGTTTTATTGTTGCCAGTAAACAGTGTGGTCGCCACCCTTGTTTGACTTGGGCTTTGCAGAGAGCCCAGGAGATAAGAATATACCACATAATCTCTTAAATACGATGTTGTTGAACCTGCATGTTTGAGCAGACTCCCTGTTACTGCCTTCAATGGTCAGGTCATACTTAGCAGACGCTCTTATCCAGAGAGACTTACAGGAGCAATTAGGTCAAGTGCACATCGACAGATTTTTCATCTAGTCAGCTCGGGGATTCGAACCAGCGACCTTTCAGTTACTGGCCCAACGTTCTTAACCACTAGGCTACCTGCCGCCCACTCAGTTTGGCCTCTTTGACACATATGGTTAATGTTAGATGTAGACGTCTGTCTTTCTGTTTTTTTCTGGTCAGGTTTGTGGATACAGGTGAGATGTCGGAGACCTTCCCCTACAGAACCAAAGCACTTTTCGCCTTTGAGGAGATCGACGGCGTGGATGTGTGTTTCTTCGGGATGCACGTGCAGGAGTACGGCTCGGACTGCTCCTTCCCCAACACCAGGTCAGCACCTGTACCTGTACCCCTACATGGGGCTGGTCCTGAGTACCTGTACCCCTACATGGGGCTGGTCTTGGGTGGTTATAATGGGGTACACTGAGTGTGATGTGTTGGTAGACCCTTGGTTCAGTAGTAACATATTACATATGCAGTTTTTAGTGTATACATTTATAAATGTATTGAAATTAGTGACTAACTGATGACATTTGTTTATTCCTGTGTCTCCCTCCCTCCACAGACGGGTCTACATATCATACCTGGACAGTATTCACTTCTTCAAACCTCGACTGCTGAGGACGGCAGTCTATCATGAGATCCTGATTGGCTACCTGGAGTATGTCAAGAAACTTGGGTAGGTCTTAATTAATAGTACAATGATATACATTCATATTGCAGTTTTCTCAAGTAAAAGCACTTTACTTGATGGCGGTAACTCTCCACTTGCATTAACCAAAACAACCAACCCTTGTCTCTTCTCCCCCTCAGCTACTCTCAGGGTCACATCTGGGCGTGCCCCCCCAGCGAGGGGGACGACTACATCTTCCACTGCCACCCTGCCGACCAGAAGATCCCCAAGCCCAAGAGGTTGCAGGAGTGGTACAGGAAGATGCTGGAGAAGGCCTTTGCTGAGAGGATCCTCCATGACTTTAAGGTAGGCCTCTCAATGGCTAAAGCCTTTCAGGCCTATCTTGTAGACTTGGTCCAGTTGAGTCCCCAACCTTGGCCTTGGGAAACTTGTTTTCTCTGCAACAGGGCCAACCAAGTCTTCAAACTCTAAACTGTTTTGAGGTTTCTGAATGTATTCATAGGGCTAGAACAGCAACAACCAGCCAAGCAGAAGACTCATATTAGTTGAACATTTGTGTCCATTGGACATTAAAGTAATCTTCTTCTGTGTTTTTCTCTAGGACATCTTCAAGCAGGCGACAGAGGACTGTCTGACGGGGGCCAACGAGATGCCCTACTTCGAGGGGGACTTCTGGCCCAACGTGCTGGAGGAGAGCATCAAGGAGCTGGAACAGGAGGAGGAAGAGAGGAAGAAGGAGGAGAACGTATCCTGCTCCGATACACCGGAGGTGGTAGGAGGAGGAGGAGAGACGAGTCTGTCATAGGATAGACCGATAACGGGGAACTATCAATAATAGTACTAGAGACAATATCATTATCAATAGCTAACCTACCTACATGAATACATATAACTCCTACCTCTCTAGTGTCTTGTCTTAAAATGTAGTTTTTATGTGAAATGATGTATTAGTTGAATGCATAACATACGTGTGATTGTTTGTGCCCTCACTGTCCTGTGTGTAAACATTTGTTGATTTGCCATATTTTTCTAACTCTTCCCTCTTCTCTTCCCTCAGGGCACGCCAGGGGACACTAAGAACGCCAAGAAGAAGAACAGCAAGAAGACCAATAAGAACAAGGGCAGCGTGAGCCGAACCAATAAGAAGAAGCCTGGTATGCCGAATGTAGCCAATGACCTGTCCCAGAAGCTCTACGCCAGCCTGGAGAAACACAAAGAGGTATGATGACGTCGCCACTTTCGCTTTGAGATACACGTCGTCTTTCAATGGCTTTAACTGTTTTATGAAGTTGTTTCTTAGAATGGTGCCATGTGTAGATTCTCTTCTAGAATCTCTGAGCTGGGATATTACCGTATTGGTCCGAATATAAGACGACCCTGATTATAAGACGACCCCCCGTTTTTCAACACAAACATTTAGAAAAACAGATTTGCAGACTAGATTTGCCGAACAAAGAACTTCATTTTATTTTAAAATAACAATATTAAAAACACAGTGAATTAAACACAAAGGCAAACTATGTACAGTATGATTCAAAATTAATATCAAGCAATAATAAAGCAACATTTTTAAATAACAGAGAAAATACAGGCCACACATTTAACTAAACTTAACAAAAATTCGCCAAACTTCTCCTCCGATGTCTCTCTATCCCTCACACACGTCCTCTGCCCCGCTGTGTTCGCTCTCGCTGTCATCGCTCCCCAGCTGCTCCGCTTCCACCGGCTCCTCCCAAAGCACGTCGTCCTCGCTGCCGTCCAATGCATTTGAGATGCAACATTTTTTAAAGCCATCGATGATGCTCTGTGAGGGAATAGCATCCCATGCATGCAGGATCCATTCACACAGTAGACTTCTCTCCGAAGTCTGACGGCAGGCGTTGGGCCAAACTCGTTCTCCGTCTAAGTGACAGTCCATTACGCCGCATCATCCTACGACACCAGCCGAGGCTGGCTTTAAATCCAGTGATGTTGAGCTCTCTGGCGATTTCCAGGGCCTTAACCTGGATGACAGCTCTGGTAATGGGCATTCCCTCACTTCTTTTTTCCCTGACATATTCAAAAACCCTCCGGTCAACCTCAATGAAACGACCACTTTGAGGACCACGGAAGGATTTTCGCTGACTGTTAGCATCTTTTAGACGTTGTTTTTCTGCTCGCCATCTTCTTACATTACACTCAGTGACCCCGAATGTCTTGGCAGCTTGGCAGTTGTTAGATGACTCTGCCTTATTGACAACCATTATTTGAAATTGGCATCATAGCTCCTCCGCTGTTGTTTATTGACCTGGCCCACTTTTGAGCCACTTGTCTCTAAATGGTCAGCCTGTCTTTCCATCTTTAACACGGTAACGGGCTGGTTGTTAAGGACGCCTCTTCCCTCCGTCCGGAACGATTTTGGCGCCATCTGTGCCCGCGAATGTGTATTGACATTAAAGGGAGCGCCGAAGAAGAGAAACTGCGCTCTGAATACTAGACCCAGAATATAAGACGACCCGACTTTTTTGGACCTATTTCGAGGGGAAAAAAGGCCGTCTTATATTCGGACCAATACGGTATTGGCCTGACCCAAACCCAATGGCAAACAACCAAGAATTGAGGGATGCTCTCTTCAAGTGTATGTCTAACTGCTCTCCTCTCTCCCTCCAGGTGTTCTTTGTGATCCACCTGCACTCGGCCCAGATGGCCAATATGCTGCCCCCCATCATGGACCCTGACCCCCTGCTGAACTGTGACCTGATGGACGGCCGCGACGCCTTCCTCACCCTGGCCCGGGACAAGCACTGGGAGTTCAGCTCTCTCAGGAGGTAATGATAATGATAATACATTTGATTTGTATAGCGCTTTTCATAATAGAGGAATCTCAAAGTTCTACATCTTTAATTCTACCTTAGAATTGAACAATTATGACTGTCTTACCTACCTAAGTTGAATGCACTGTGACTGTAAGTCGCTCTGGATAAGCACATCTGCTAAGTGTAACAATAAAGTCAACATACAGTAAGAATCAAGCCAGCTAAAGCAACAATGGTAGATGCTAAAAGGCCTTCACAGAGAGAGTCTGTTAAAGTGTTTTAGTATTTTTAGGCCAGTTTTAAAATGTATTGATGGATGGAGTGGTGGTAAGGTAGAGCGTTCCATAGGCCAGTGGTTTCAAACCTCTCCTCTGGGACCCTCAGACATTTCACAATTTAGTTGTAGCCCTGAACTAACTCACCTGATTCACCTATTCAAGGCTGTTTAGTTGACAAGTTGAATCAGGTGTGCTAGCTGTGGAATAGATTAGATCCATGGAACGGCTGGGGGTCCCTGAGGAGAGGTTTGAAAACCACTGCCATAGAGGACCATTGGTTGATGAATTTCGACCGTTTGTTTCCATAAGGTGTAAGTGGAGCACCATGTGTATGCTGGTGGAGCTGCACAACCAGGGTCAGGACCGCTTCGTCTACACCTGCAATGAGTGTAAACACCACGTGGAGACTCGCTGGCACTGTACCGTCTGTGAGGTAAGACACACACACACACACACATGCATACATCCTCACCATCTTTGGAGATTTATACCATGTTCCTGTGTCTTTGTCCCAAACAATCAAATGAGTTTTATAAAGCCTGTAGTCAAAAAGTGTTTTACAGTAACCCTAAAGAACAAGCAGGCAATAGCTGTGCTCTGTCACTTACATCTGTCCATGCATGTATTAACCTCCACCTCTCTCCTCTCAGGACTTTGACCTGTGTATCAACTGCTACGCCGCCAAGGGCCACGAGCACCAGATGGTCAAGTGGGGCCTGGGGCTGGACGACGACAGCAATGGAGCGGGTGGCGCCGGCGAGGCCTCTAAGAGTCCCCAGGAGTCACGCCGTCTCAGCATCCAGCGCTGCATCCAGTCCCTGGTTCATGCCTGCCAGTGTCGCAACGCCAACTGCAGCCTGCCGTCCTGCCAGAAGATGAAGCGCGTGGTGCAGCACACCAAAGGTAATGTAATCGGTTGCTGGCATCAGTATCCTGCTGTTGTGCCCTTGAGAAAGGCACTTAACCCCAAAACTGCTCGAAGGGCGCTGCACTGCGACTGACCCTGTCCTCTTAACCTCTCTGTGGATCCATGTGTGTCTCTGGGGGTTGAGATAAAGGAAAAATACACTTTTTAATGTCTCCTTGAAAATTGACAATAACATATCTTCTCTTATCTATTTTAGGTTGCAAGAGGAAGACCAACGGCGGCTGCCCTGTGTGCAAGCAGCTCATCGCCCTGTGCTGCTACCACGCCAAGCACTGCCAGGAGAACAAGTGTCCCGTACCGTTCTGTCTGAACATCAAGCACAAGCTACGGCAGCAGCAGCTCCAGCACCGCCTACAGCAGGCTCAGATGATGAGGAGAAGAATGGCCACCATGCAGGGAAGAGCAATGCCCCAGAGCTTACCATCCCCCCCTCTGGCCCCCACTACAACCCCCAACACCACCCCCTCCCACCCCCAGCATAACCCACCCCAAACCCCCCAACAACCGCTTTCGAACCAGCCGCAGACCCCAGCGTTCTCTCCTCGCAACGGTCATCCCCTAACGCCAGCTTCCAAGGGCAAGGGGGGACCTCAAGCGTCCCCTTTACACCAGCAGCAGTCACCTCTCCCCCCGCAACCTCCCCAACCCCAGCCACCCCCTCAACCTCAACAACCCCCTCAACAACAACCCCCTCTCGCTGCAGTCAAGATGGCGCGGCACATTGAGATGGTGGCCCAAGCGCAGCAGCAGAACCAGCAGAACTACCGGGTCAACATGAACGGCCTGCCGATGCACCAGCAGAACCCCCAGCAGAACCCCCAGCAGCAGCAACGCATGGCCGGACCCATGCAGATGGCTGGGGGTCAAATGGTGGGACCCAGAGGGCCCCAGGGCATGCAGCAGCCCATGGCCCCAGGTCAGTGGCCCAGCGCTGGGGGAGCTCAGCCTGGACAACCAGGAGTTGGAGTCCCTCCCCAGGTGGGTCAACCCCAGCAGGGGATACCGATGCAACAGAGACCCATGATGTCTCCTCAGCAACAGGCCCAGGCTCAGAGGATGCTAGTCCCCCAGCCGGGGGGTCCCAGACCCCAGACGCCGCCCCAGAGACCCGGGGCCATCGCCCCCAACGCCCTCCAGGACCTCCTGATGACCCTCAAGTCCCCCAGCTCACCCCAGCAGCAGCAGCAGGTCCTCAACATCCTGAAGTCCAACCCCCAGCTCATGGCGGCATTCATCAAACAGAGAACGGCAAAGTACCACGCCAGCAACCCCCAGCAACAACAGCAGCCGGGGATGTTGGGAGCCCAGCCGGCGATGCAGGCCATGGCAGCCATGCAGGCTGGGGCTGGGGGGGTCCAGAGGCCCGGGATGCCCCCTCAGCAGCCTCAACAACCCACCGCCCAGGGGATGGCTGCTTTAGGACCCCAGGGGCAACTCATGAACCCTGGACACAACCCCCAACCCAACGCTGCCCAGATACAGGAGCTCTACCGGAGACAGCTCCTACGACAACAACAACAGCAACAACAGCAGCAGCAGCAGGCCCATCCAGCCAGCTACTCTCAGCTCCGCATGCAGCAGCAGCAGCTAGCCATGCAGGGCCAGGGCCAGCTCCCTCCCATGGCCCAGATGGGTCAGTCTGGCATGGGCATGGACCCCACCGCCACCACCCAGAACCTCTTGCACCAGCGGATGCTCCAACAACAACAGCAGGGTATCCCTAACCAACAGGCCGTCCTCAAGCAGCAGACGGGGGGCTCCCCGGTCCAGCCCAGCCCCACCATGAGTCCCCAGGCCCAGGCCCACCTGCTGGCCGGCCAGCCCCAGCCTGGAGCTCACCTCCCTGGCCAGTCCCCCATGGCCAATGCCCTCTCCAACCGGTCCCCTGCACCCGTACAATCCCCGTGCCCGCCCTCGCAACAACACCCACATTCCAGCCCTTCGCCCCAGGTTCAGCCCTCACCCCACTCGGGGTCCCCCCACCCGGGCTTGGCAGGCCCCATGCCTGGCTCCATGGACCAGGGACACTTGGCCACGGCGGAGCAGAGCGCTATGCTATCGCAGATAAACACGCCCGCCAGAGGAGGGTTGAACAATGACTTGGGCACAGGAGGGGATACGACGGGAGATACGCTGGAGAAGTTTGTGGAGGGATTGTAGCATTAAACGGGAGACTTGGGCTACGTCCCAAATAGGTGACACCCTATTCCCAATTAGTGCACCAGGGCCCTGCTCAAAAGTAGTGCACTATGTAGGGATTAGGGTGCCATTTGGGATGCATCTAGAAACAAACCACGGTCTCCCCCCATCCTCCACTGATGTATTCGGACTCCGGGCCCCTCCCTTATTTGAGATATTGTTTGTTCTTTATAAAGCAATGAAAAATCTCATTTTTTTGTTTTGTTTTTACTTACATGTAAAAAGTTTCAAGAGATGTAAAAAGAGAGAAAATGGGGTAAAATGTTAAATGCCGACACTTATAGGGGAATGTTGATGTTTCCTAAAACTGGTGTTTCTTCTTCCTTATGAGTCGAGGGATTTTGCAAATTGCTGTTTAAAAGACGTTTAAATCACAAAGAATATATATTTTTTGGTTGAGACCAAAATGTGCTCAGACTTTGTTTTATTTGTTTGGTATTTGGTATGATGTCATGCCTTTTTGTTTCCTTTTTAAAGAAAATGTATAAAACAATTGCATTATAGTATTCATACTTTTTATTTTGTACCTTTTTGGAGAAAAAAAGTAAAGCATTTTTTTCTTTTGTGTTGAGACTGTAAAATAATTTTGTCTGGGAATCGGGCCAGGTTTCTTTTCTCTTCTCAAGCTCTTCTCATTCCTGGGACTGCATCTAGAAAATGGCTCCATGTTCCCAATATAGTGTAGTGTACTATATAGGGGATAGGGAGCCATTCCAGATGCAGCCCTGGCAATTGTAATCTAAAGTGTTGTACCATTTTTACAGAACCACCTGCATTTGAGAGGGAGGGACTCCTCCTTTTCCTCTTTGTGAAGTGTGTGTGTTCGAGGAGAACTATCCATTTGTATTGAAATAGGAAATGGACTATGGCAGTTTGTGTAATACACTGGCATGTATGCAGAAACACTTGATACACACACACACACACACACACACACACAAAAAAAACAAGGACAATATCTCACTAGCCTGGAAACCGGAATCTCTGTCTTGACTTGAGGATGTAGAAAATTGTGGTTCTGTCATTTAAAAAGTTTGTCATAATTTGTTGATGTGTAAAGTTAAGTATATAAAGAGAACAGAAAACCGACTCTTATCCCGAGGAGGAATGGGGGACAGACGGACTATCCTGAGGGGGAATGGGGGTTCACTGGTTGACTGCTTGTTTGTTTTGAAAAGAGATAAATAAATAGTCCAGCTATCTATCAACCCTCCATCCTCATTCCCCTCTCTCAAAAACACAAACTTGAATAAAACTTGGGGTGGGTTACGTTCTCCTAGCTCCCTATTGTAAATCATGCAAGTTGTTATTAAGCAAAAATACTATAAATATAAGGAAGCGCGAATGAAATCACTGTATAAACTGGTTAAAGACTCATTTCTTACTTATATACCATATTGTTAAATAAACTGTGTGCAACAGACAACACTTGGAGTTATACTTCTGTATCAGAGTGGTTTGTGTGTCTCAATGGGATTATTATTTTTTTGGTCATTTAGCAGACGCTCTTATCCAGAGCGACTTACAGGAGCAATTAGGGTTAAGTGCCTTGCTCAAGGGAACATCAACAGATTTTTCACCTAGTCGGCTCGGGGATTAGAACCAGCGACCTTTCAGTTACTGGCACAACGCTCTTAACCACTAAGCTACCTGTCGCCCCAGGATTGTTTGCCCCGCAATTTTGATAGCAAACTAGGATGAGGTTGTGAGCGTGTTTTATAGAAAATGAGTGGAAAAGTGAGAATTAGTGCTTCTCAGTGAGTGTATATCTGTCTCAGAATGAGAAGAGGTAAAGTGAGTATTAGTGCTTCTCAGTGAGTGTATATCTGTCTCAGAATGAGAAGAGGTAAAGTGAGTATTAGGGCTTCTCAGTGAGTGTATATCTGTCTCAGAATGAGAAGAGGTAAAGTGAGTATTAGTGCTTCTCAGTGAGTGTATATCTGTCTCAGAATGAGAAGAGGTAAAGTGAGTATTAGTGCTTCTCAGTGAGTGTATATCTGTCTCAGAATGAGAAGAGGTAAAGTGAGTATCTGTCTCAGAATGAGAAGAGGTAAAGTGAGTATTAGGGCTTCTCAGTGAGTGTACAGTCGTGGTCAAAAGTTTTGAGAATGACACAAGTATTGGTCTTCAAAGTTTGCTGCTTCAGTGTTTTTAGATATTTTTGTCAGATGTTACTATGGTATACTGAAGTATAATTACAAGCATTCCATAAGTGTCAAAGGCTTTTATTGATCATTACATTAAGTTTATACGAAGAGTCAATATTTGCAGTGTTGAACCTTTCTTTTTCAAGACCTCTGCAATCCGCCCTGGCATGCTGTCAATTAACTTTGGGCCACTTCCTGACTGATGGCAGCCCATTCTTGCATAATCAATGCTTGGAGTTTGTCAGAATTTGTGGGGTTTTGTTTGTCCACCCGCCTCTTGAGGATTGACCACAAGTTCTCAATGGGATTAAGGTCTGGGGAGTTTCCTGGCCATGGACCCAAAATGTTGATGTTTTGTTCCCCGAGCCACTTAGTTATCACTTTTGCCTTATGGCAAGGTGCTCCATCATGCTGGAAAAGGCATTGTTCGTCACCAAACTGTTCTTGGATGGTTGGGAGAAGTTGTTCTCGGAGGATGTTGGTCCCATTCTTTATTCATGGCTGTGTTCTTAGGCAAAATTGTGAGTGAGCCCACTCCCTTGGCTGAGAAGCAACTCCACACATGAATGTTCTCAGGACGCTTTACTGTTGGCATGACATAGGACTGATGGTAGCGCTCACCTTGTCTTCTCCGGACAAGCTTTTTTCCGGATGCCCCAAACAATCGGAAAGGGGATTCATCAGAGAAAATGACTTTACCCCAGTCCTCAGCAGTCCAATCCCTGTACCTTTTGCAGAATATCAGTCTGTCCCTGATGTTTTTCCTGGAGAGAAGTGGCTTCCTCGCTGCCCTTCTTGACACCAGGCCATCCTCCAAAAGTCTTCGCCTCACTGTGTGTGCAGATGCACTCACACCTGCCTGCTGCCATTCCTGAGCAAGCTCTGCACTGGTGGTGCCCCGATCCCGCAGCTAAATCAACTTTAGGAGACGGTCCTGGCGCTTGCTGGACTTCCTTGGGCGCCCTGAAGCCTTCTTCACAACAATTGAACCTCTCTCTTTGAAGTTCTTGATGATCCGATAAATGGTTGATTTAGGTGCAATGTTACTAGCAGCAATATTCTTGCCTGTGAAGCCCTTTTTGTGCAAAGCAATGATGACGGCACGTGTTTCCTTGCAGGTAACCATGGTTAACAGAGGAAGAACAATGATTTCAAGCACCACCCTCCTTTTAAAGCTTCCAGTCTGTTATTCTAACTCAATCAGCATGACAGAGTGATCTCCAGCCTTGTCCTCGTCAACACTCTCACCTGTGTTAACGAGAGAATCACTGACATGATGTCAGCTGGTCCTTTTGTGGCAGGGCTGAAATGCAGTGGAAATGTTTTGGGGGGATTAAGTTCATTTTCATGGCAAAGAGGGACTTTGCAATTAATTGCAATTCATCTGATCACTCTTCATAACATTCTGGAGTAAATGCAAATTGCCATCATAAAAACTGAGGCAGCAGACTTTGTGAAAATTAATATTTGTGTCATTCTCAAAACTTTTGACCACGACTGTATATCAGTCTCAGAATGAGAAGAGGTAAAGCGAGTATTAGGGCGTCTCAGAATGAGAAGAGGTAAAGTGAGTATGTGGGCTTCATTCAATTATCTCTCAAGAAGCCATGCAAATTTCAGGTTAAATTGAAACATTGCATTCAACACACAGAGTGGATTCATTGCAAATGACTTGCCATGATTTCAGGGGAGAAGCTGGGGATTTTAGAATATTTTATTGTTGAATCAAATGATATAGCCATCAAGCCCAAAAAAAATGTATATGGTCACTTATACTTCAGTTAAAAGCTAGTTGCTATTCTTCTACTGGTATTTATTTGTCTAAATGTTGTAACTTATTTAGTACTTTAATAACGGGTCTTGTAACGCATGAATCCACCCTATCACATGACCTGGGTGGACGTCAAGCCTGTTGTCACGTGACAGGAAGTATAATGTGAAGCGGTTGAATGTAAGTATTTTGAATAATAAACTAAATTTAGCTCGTAATACATGTTTCCACTATCATATATGCAACTTCAATTTTCATGCAGTAATGGCACATTAATTCCTAAATGATGCAGAATATTTATGCTGAAGAGAGGATATTTCCCAAATGCCACCCCACATTGCTAGCTAGCTAGCAGCATTAACCTCCATGGCTATCAATCCGAGAGGCTAGCTACTAGCAAAACAATCAACACATCTAGCTAGCTAGCTATCTAGTGGCGCAAGAAGCAGACCACTACAATCAAATACGATGGACGACTCAGATCAAGACTTCGTGGACCTCTGCTCCAAGTTGCTCAAACGAGTCCGCAGGAAAGCAGGCGAAACCGAGAAGAGAAGTGTTGCAGAGCCCTCGTCCCAGGACACTGCGAAATACATACCCACCAAAAGGGTGACGACTAGGAGGAAGAAGAAAGATGTTGGCCCAAGTTCCATGGGAGCTTTGGGTAACAACTCTGAACACGTTTCCTCCATCTCTACCGCTTGTGATGAACCAATCCCACTTCCCTCCAATACAGACGAATCTAAACAAGCAGTGGTCAATGGAGGAATTGGACTTGGTGGAGGACAGAATGGGTCATCAGTGGCTGTGGATGTTGATGGGTCTCGACCTGAGGATAAGGGAATGGGGGTGAAGGAGAAAGTGCTACACAGGATGCAGCAGTTCAAGAGAGTCAATCCACAGAAGCTGGTGCATGGTGAGAGGAATCAGCCTGCAGCAACAGGGAGTGAAAGTGACGGTGCTGCTCCCTATCCACTGCAAGGTAATCAAGGTGAGATCCATCACTGTGTCTAGATTATATGGTGTGTCTTTTCATTCATTTGTGTGTGTACTCAATGGCATGCTAATTACCCTTCTCTCCACCTCTGCCCTCCCCTGTTCAGCTCCATCCACCTCCGCCTCCACTCCCCTACCGCTGGACCCCCAGATGGATGATTCGGATGAGGCCCTGGCCCTGCGTCTACAGGAGGAGCTGGACAGGGAGGCCCAGGCTGTGGCCCACGGTAGGGCAGTGGACCTAGAGCAGGGTGGCCTGTTCTTCTGTCAGCTCTGCCAGAAGGACCTATCTGCCATGAGCCCCACAGGACGCACCCAGCACATCAACAGGTAGGGACTACTGGAGCTGGACACACACACTTGCTCTCTCACCCATTTAACTCCAGAATCTGTCTGTTAATAGAACAGTCAATGACTCCAAAGACCCATCTAACTCCAGATTCTGTCTGTTAATAGAATAGTAAATGACTCCAAAGACCCATCTAACTCCAGATTCTGTCTGTTAATAGAATAGTCAATGACTCCAAAGACCCATCTTTCTCCAGAATCTGTCTGTTACAGTTTTTCTCGATTGCTAAGACACATTTCTTGAAAGCTGCTCTCATTTTCTCTTAACTGTGAACACAAAACCCAATTTTCAAGCTACATTCACAAAACCTCAGACTCTTCTTGCAAAACCAAACTTTCACCTCAAAACAGTTCAATCTGTGCTCAAAACTGAACTATGTTGTCAAATCGTGCCCCGAGTCAATCAAAAAAAAAAACACTACTGAACAGTCACTAAACACTACGTAGAAAAATAGAAAACACAATGCTCAGGACATGAAGCTGGATAAATAAATGTTTATTGTTCACTGTAGGCTAAATGCATGTTGCAAAACAAAAAAAAACTGTGCATTTAGCACTTGTACAAAAAGACAAAACAGAAATCTTGTGCATTTACATGTAGCACTTGTAAAAACAAACAGAAATCTTATGCGTTTGCCACTTGTGTACAGTAAGCCCATGTAATAAAGTACACAAATATACAAATAAGTGCATTACTCAGCCACAGCATCATGTCTCCGTACTGGGTCAGGCCACAGGACTTCATCCACATCACAGGCCACATTTTGTCTGGCCAGGCAACGGGGGAAAAAACCCCTGGCATGCCGTATCCAGGCTTGGCATGCCTCCACACCTATGTCACCACAGGCAAGTCCCATGGCTTGCAGGAGATTTACCCTGGTGTAAGGTTGGCGTTCATATACCTTCCACCGCCATGAGGAGAAGAATTCCTCAATGGGGTTTAGGAAAGGGGAGTACGGTGGAAGGCAAAGATTGATAAAACCTTGGTTCATATTGTACTACTCTCTAACCTGGAGGGCTCTGTGAAAACTCACATTGTCCCAAACAACAACATAGATGGGATGCTCATCCTGCTGCCCTAACAAAGCATCTCGCATGTGATTGAGGAAAATGAGGAGCTGGTGAGTGTTGTAGGGCCCCAGGTTGGCATGATGGTGGACAACCCCATGATTGCTGATGGCAGCACATAATGTGACATTGCCACCACGCTGCCCAGGAACACCAACAATGGCCCGATGGCCAATCACATTACGGCCTCTCCTTCTCCTTTTGGTGAGATTAAACCCAGCTTCATCCATGTAGATGTATTGATGGGGTCTTTCCATTGCATCCAGTTGAAAAACCCTCTGTGGAAATAGATATAGTTTTGTAAGTGATACGGAAAAAGTGATTTAGGCCACTACAGTAAATCACTACTTAGAGTAATCAACATTGAATGTGTCTGGATATATGCCAACCTGTACATACTGGAATCTTTGCTCTTTGACTCTGTCTGAGTTGCGATCAAAGGGCACTCTGTATAGCTGTTTCATGCGCAGTCTGTTGCGCTTGAGGACACGATCAACAGTAGAGAGGCTGACACTGTTGATACCCTCAAAATGTAAATGGTCCTCAATGATCTTCTGCTGAATTTCGCTCAGTTTAATGGCATTGTTCTCACGGACCATATCAACAATTAGGGTCTCTTGGTGTGGGGAGAACATACCTGTCCTCCCACCCCCATGTGGCAGTCTTTCAATTCTACAAAAAGAGAACATGGAGTTACAAAAAATATACATGGAATACTAGGCCTACAAACAGTTAGACCAACCCTCCATTACAATACTACAGTACATTGGTACAGTGATGTACTGAAACATATATTTACTTACAGTATACTGTGGTACAGTATATAGTATGTCATACAGTAATTGCTGTCAACATTTACATACTGTACTATAATGTCAAAAAAAGGTAATTACCTGTTCTCTTCTCTAAATCTTCAGATTATGGTGGACACAGTGAATCTACTGATGTTTGGTTGTACCCTTTGTCCAGCCTCCCTCATGCTCATACCATGGACAAGAACATGGTCAATCACAGTAGCTCTGATTTCATCAGATATTACTGTTCTTTGTCTTCGCTGACCACCTCGACCACCTCGACCTCCTCTCATACGAACTCTTCCTCTCAGATTTCTATCCATTGTAGGGCCTCACAAACCAGTGCTCTCTGAACTGGCTTACTGTATATGTTCCCTCACATCATTAGCCACAAGTGTGATCAATTTTGAGTTGTTGTGTTCAAGTGGTGACACCTGTGCTCTAATTGTGTTTGACATTTGTCACCTGTGCTCACCATTATGCAGCACGGGTGCATCACAATGAAAATGTGTTGGCAAGTTATGTCTAAACAGGTGAAAAGTGCTTATGGTTTTGCCAAAAGAGTGATTGATTCAATCAGTGGGTTCAGGCAACTGAGCATTTGGTTCAGACAATAGGGTTTAGTGTTTTAGCAATTGAGAAAAACTGTAATAGAACAGTCATTAACTCCAAAGACCCATCTAACTCCAGATTATGTCTGTTAATAGAACAGTCAATGACTCCAAAGAAGATACTGCCTCGTTTCCTTTCCTGATCTTGAAGAACTGGATAGGTGAAATCATGTCCTCTTGTGGCTTCTGATGTGTATGTAGCCTTCAACAGTCCAGTGTTTTCAGATCAGTGCAGATGAAGGAAAGGAGACAAGGAAAATAAACCAATTGACATTATTGGGACCCCAATGTCCCCTATCCAGGTGTCTAGACGAGAGTGAGGACAGTGCCCCCCGTGCTGCCCCCGCCCCTCCTCCCGCTCCCCGCGTCCCAGAGTGCCCCATCTGTGGTAAACGGTTCAAGTCCCAGAAGAGTCGCGCGGCCCACCTGAAGCGCTGCTCCTCCACGATGGGCGTGGCTCCTGCCGTGCTGCTGCAGGCTGTACAGAGACAGGCTGCCGAGGCTGCAGGGAGCCTGACTGACAGCACCGCCAACCAACCGTAAGTCAACCTGGCCTGATTGGTCCCGCCCCCTTTGAACCATCAACCAACCCAAACAACCTGACTGCTGTTACTGTACATTAAATCGATAACTTTGATGTTAGAAGCATTAAGTCATGTTCAGGAGGGTGCAACATACTGAACATTGCAGATACAAGTGTACTTGATAGAGCTAACATTGTGCCCTACTGAACCACCCCTGTATGCTGCTTTTGGGGCCTTTGTGACCCACCTAGAGAAATAAATGTAGGAGAAACACTGCATTGTTAAAATGTTGGAGGACAATAAACTATTCTATTCTACCCTTGAGTAACCCTCTCCTCTCCCCCAGTCCGCAGGCCGGAGGCTCCAAGCGTAAAGGCTCCACAGACCCCAGCCTCCCGGGCAGGAAGAAGCCCAGAAAGAAGCCCCGTGGCCTCGACGAAGACACCATGGTGGCCATGGCCCTGTCCCACTCCCTCCTGGAGAAGGAGAAAGAGATGGAGCGGGATATGCAGAGAGAGATACAGAGGGAGACAGAGAGAGAAGGGGGTCAGCAGCTCCCAGCCCTCCTCCCTCTTTCACCATTGAAGTGGAGAGCTGAACCAAGTAAGACAAGTAAGTCACTATCTTGACTGAACCTACATCTTGTTTAGGCAATGCATTATGCTATGATTATAAGGATGTATTTGCTGTGATGAAAAATTATTTCCCTTTATTATATAAAACAGGAGCAAACTATACTAAATGCATTGATATGAAACTATACATGTATAAACAATTTTATGTTTCTATTATATGATTAATATCATAGCCGTGTCCTCCTTTTCTCTTGACCCCTTCCCCAGGTAAGGGGCGTAGCAAGAGGAAAAAGGGGGCACCCCCTCGCCCCCCTCCCCTCCTCCTGGTCCAGGACTCGGAGACAGCCCTGAGTCGACTACAGGAGCGTGTGGCTGCCCTCCTCCTCCATACCCGCGCCCCCTCGCCGCCAACCCCCACACGCTGCCCCAGCACCCTGCCCTCCTGCAGCGCTGCCCCCCTCTGGCAGAAGAGTGCGTTGCGGGACGGAGGGCCAAAGGTCATCTCTGAGTTCTACACCCCAGAGCTCAGAGAGTTTATACAGCCTTGGGTGTCTGTAAAGGTGAGAGCCTGTGTGTGTGTGTGTTACTCATACTTTCACATCTGTGCTTCTAATACTCTGATTTGCATTAATAGTATGCGTGTATCTCGATTCATAGTCTCCTTTTCATTCACACTTACATTTATTTCACACAATTTGTCTTCTCCTAGATGGATATGGTGTCTCCCACCAAGGCCATGCCAGTATCCTCCACCAACCCTTCCATAATAGAAGGCATCTCTATGACCAAGCAACCTATCCCCTCCTCCAAACGACCAGTCCCCTCCACCCAGGCAGCCCCCTCTTCGCTCCCTTCCACCCCAGGGACAGGGCACCTTCCAGTGGGCAGCCAGACTCTGTGTGACCTGATAGAGCTGGCTGATGAGGGAATGACCCTCACACAGTGGGGCTACTCTTCCCCAGGACCTGCCAGAGGTGAGAGCTACTCCTGGGAGAACTGTTATATACAGGAAACACACAGGGGTAAGAATGTGCACAAAACACAAAGACACTGACATGTAAAGGAGTGGAAATCCAACCGAGGATGACAGAAGTTAGTATAGGAGTAATACATCCATAGTATAATCTTCAATCTGACTCCATTATCGTGTGAATGCTATAGGCCCATGAGCGTATCCCATGGATCTAGTCAAGGTAGCAAGCCTTGCATCACCACTCAGAATACTATGTTACATGTGTCCGAGATAACCCTTATGCAATTATTAAGAGGCTGAGAGACAGAGCTAATATCTTGCGATCAATGTCCTAGCATAAAATGATTGATTTAACCTTAGCTCAGAGCTGTACAGTTAGAGGCCAAGCATATATTCTATGTTTAGTATGAATGACATTTACCATTAGACCATACATCAAATAATAATTCAAGGAATATTACTCAGAAATATGCAGCCTACAGTTCTTATCTATAGCTAAAGTAATCCAATGTATTACAGTTGCGCAATAAGAATACAATTATCAAATGATACATACCAGAGGTCTTCAATGTCAAAAGATACAAAATATCTAAAAGTCTAAATGTATAAATGACACACTATGGTGTAATGGAACGCTACACCAGGAGATTGGTTTATAATGAATACATGAACTAAGTTTCCACCCATCTTTTATTCTCCCCTGAGCGCCAAATCTCAGTATCTCCCATCGTCTAATTAACATCACTTTGTTTGGCCGAAACAAAAAACTCAAATCATAAAAATACCACATGAACTCCAGAACCTCCCTTATCTGAATGACAGGAGCTCACATCTGGTCGCTCCCTCTTTGAACTGACCGCCGTCCAGCAGACAGAATAACACAGTAACTCTTTAACTATCAATCCATAGCACTTACAGTACAATAAAACACATAAAAATGCACAGCTCTTTATGAACTCTTAAATCAATCCAAACAAGACATTTTAATTCACACAGTAACATTCATTTAGATGATTCAAGTTTTCATCTGTCTTCACAACCCCCGACGGTGTCCGTGCTCCCATGGTTCTACGCGAACGTCACGCCACGGAGAAAGCCAGGGATAAGGTGTGTTTGACTTTTGTGATAGCCGTCATAGGGTCAGCCTTCCAGACGATGCCATAAATCCTGATAGAGTCCTTACTCTGGGCCTCAGCACCTGCAAGTCGCTAGATGCATCTTCGTCACTGGCCTTCATCGTTGTTCCTCCCTATTTTTCCACTACAGACACAGGATGTATACACACGCTCACAGACATGGAGATAGAACACCCACAGCATCCAAGCTAGCATCCCTGAAAGTAGCTAGCATCCCTGAGAGTAGCTAGCATCCCTGAGAGTAGCTAGCATCCCTGAGAGTAGCTAGCATCCCTGAGAGTAGCTAGCATCCCTGAGAGTAGCTAGCATCCCTGAAAGTAGCTAGCATACCTAAAAGTAGCTAGCATCCCTGAAAGTCAAACATACTGTACCTCTAACGTTGTTTATCTTCCCTCTGTGCTCAGATAAAGAGAGCACTGCTACAGACTTCCACCTAAGTGGCTTTGTTCCTGAGAGCACAGACGAACCCCCTGACCTGTGTCTCAGTGGCTTCATCCCAGAGAGCATTAGAAACACTGAAAGCCATCAAAGGAGATCTGTTCCTCAAAGCAGAGACACCAACAGGAGCAACCAGAAATCAGTAAGGCACCTTTTAGAAGTCTTCCACTTTATTGTATACCTTTTCATAACTAGACCTTGATTAGCTGAGTCCAGTGTGTTAGAGTAGGGTTGGAGCAAAACCCTACACATCCAGTAGCTCTCCAGAAAGAGGGTTGGCCACCCCTGGGCTAATATAATCACCTTCTCATACCTGTGTTGGACACTTGTTGCCTGCTCATTAATAATAAATAATAATAATGCCATTTAGCAGACGCTTTTATCCAGTCATGCGTGCATACATTTTTTTGTGTATGGGTGGTCCCGGGGATCGAACCCACTACCTTGGCGTTACAAGCGCCGTGCTCTACCAGCTGAGCTACAGAGGACCACATTGCTCTGTGATGGTAGCTGTTGTGTATGTCTCTGACCCATAGGTGGCGCTGTCCAGGCTGGCCTCAGACCTGACCAGTATGGTGAACAACCCCCAGTTCAGTGATGTCCAGCTACAGGTGGACAGTGGGGAGGTGTACTTCACCCATTCATTCATGCTGTACGCTCGATGCCCCCTGCTGGCGCAGATGGTAAGTGCATGTGTGGATTTCACCTAGTAATATTTGCTTGTATGGTTCTCATTTGAAACCATTTTTTATTTACAGTTGAATTATGATTTGTTTTCTATCTCTCGTTCTCTCAATCCCTCCCTCTATCATCTGTCCTTCTCTCCCTCTGTCTCTCTCTCCCCACCCTCTCCCTCTGTCTCTCTCCCCCCCCACCCTTCCCTCTGTCTCTCTCCCTCCCCATCCCTCTCCTCTCTCCCTCTCTCTCCTCCCTCTCTCCCTCCCACTCCCTACTCTCTCCCCCCACCCTATCCCTCTGTCTCTCTCCTCCTCTCCCCCCCACCCCCTATCCTCTGTCTCCTCCCCACCCTCCCTCTCTCTCTCCCCCCCTATCCCTCTGTCTCTCTCCACCCTCCATCCCTCTCTCTCTCTCCCTCCCCCACCCTCCTATCCCTCTCTCTCTCCTCCCCCCACCCTCCCCCTCTGTCTCTCTCCCCCCACCCCTATCCCTCTGTCTCTCTCCCCACCCTCCTATCCCTCTGTCTCTCTCCCCCCACCCTCCTATCCCTCTGTCTCTCTCCCCACCCTCTATCCCTCTGTCTCTCTCCCACCCCCTATCCCTCTCTTCTCTCTCTCCCTTGTCTCTCACCCCCCCTTCCCTCTCTCCCTCTCCCCCCCTCCTATCCCTCTTCTCTCCTCCCCACCCTATCCCTCTGTCCTCTCCCCCCTCCATCCCTCTTCCTCTCTCGTCCCCCCCCTCTCCTCCCCCCACCCCATCCCTCTGTTCCTCTCCCCCACCCTATCCCTCTGTCCTTCTCCCCCCCCCCATCCCTCTTTCCCTCCCCCCCCCCACCCTTCTCTTCCATCCCCCCTCTCTTTCTCCTCCCTCCCCCCCCCCCCCCATCCCTCTTCTCTCCCCCCCCCCCCCCCCTCCTCTCTTTCTCTGCCCCCCCCCGCCCCCCCCTCTTTCTCTCTCCCCCCCCCCCCCCCATCCCTCTGTCCTCCCTCCCCCCCCCCCCCCCCCTCCCTCTTTCTCCCGTCCCTCCCCCCCACCCTCCACCCCTCCTCCTCTTTCTCCCCCTTCCCCCCCACCCCAGTCCCTCTGTCTCTCTCCCCCCCCCCCCATCCCTCTTTCCTCTCTCCCCCCCCCCCACCTCTCCATCCCCTCCCCCCCCGACCCCCATCCCTCTGTCTCTTGCTCCCCCCCCACCCCCTCCCTCTTATCCTCTCCGTCTCTCCCCCCCCCCCTCTCCTCTCCCCCCCCCCCCCCACTCCCTCTTCTCTCTCCCCCCCCCCCCTCCCTCTTCTCCTCCCCCCCCCCCATCCCTCTGTTCTCCTCCCTCCCCCTTCGCCCCCCCCCATCCCTCTTTCTCTCCTCCCCCCCCCACCCCCTCCCTCTTGTCTCTCTCTCTCCCTCTCTCCCCCCCCCCCATCCCTCTTTCTCTCTCCCGCCCACCCTCCCCCCTCCCTCTTCTCCCTCCCCCTCGCCCCCTTCTCTCTCCCACCCCCCGCCCACCCTCGCCTCTTTCCCTCCCCCCCCCCACCTTCTCTCTCTCCCCCCCCCCCACCCATCCCTCTTTTCTCCTCCCCCCCCCTCTGTCTCTTTCTCTCCTCCCCCCCCCCCTCTGTCTCTCTTCTCCCTCTCCCCCCCCCCCTCTGTCCTCTCTCCCTCCCCCCCGCCCCCCCTCCTTTCCTCCCTCCCCCCCCCCCTCTTCGTCTTTCCCCTCCCCCCATCCCCTCCTCTGTCTCCCTCTACTCCCCCCCCCCCCGCATCTCTTCTCTCTCCCCCCACCCACCCCTCTTTCTCTCTCCCCCCCCCCCCCCACCCATCCCTCTTCTCTCTCCCCCCCCCCCACTCCCTTCTTTCCCCCCCCCCCCTGCTCCCCCCCCCCTTCCCATCCTTTTCCCCCCCCCCCTCCCCCCCCCCTCTTTCTCCCCCCACCCATCCCCCCCCCCCCCTTTTCTTTTTCCCAGTCCCCCCCCACCCTCTTCTCTTTCCCAGGTCCATGACAGTGGATTCGGGGTGCAGGAGGAGGCCATGCCCTCAGCCCAGAGGGTGTTGTTGGGTGAGGTACCAGGCCAGGCTGTGTATACCCTGCTCCAGTACATCTACACAGCCCACTGCCCCCTCACACACACCCTGCTGCCACACGTACAGGAGCTGGCATCCAGGTAAAGTCTGACTCAAAACACCTCCGTCTGGATGGGTAGACTGGTGTTTAAGTGATATGACTTAATCTTAGTAACAGAGAGTATTACATAATAAATAAAGAGTGAGTTAGAATTAACATATTGTTCTTTATCTTCCCTCCCCTGTTGCTTTCTGTTTCTCTTTCTGTCTGTCTCGCTCTCTTTCTGTCTCCCTCTCTTTCTGTAACACTCCTTCGTTCTCTCTGTTTTGTCCTCATCAGGTTCGACCTGGAGGAGCTGCAGCAGCTGTGCCATCTCTACCCAGCTCAGACAGACATCCACAGAGGTGTAGAGGGACAGGGGGATCCGTGGGGAGACTACCCAGCCCAGGAGCATCAATCTGGGGGAGAGGAGGAGCACCGAGACCAGGTCTTCATGGAGCTCCTCCGCTCTATGTGGAACGAAGAGGTTGTTGAGGAAGATGAGGGCAGAGCAGAGGAAGGAGAGATAGCGATGGAGGAGGAGGAGGGGCGAGGGGATGGCGTGACGATAGAAGACGGAGAGACGAACGAAGAAAGGGTGAACGAAGAAGAGATGGAGGAGATATATGAGTTTGCCGCCACTCAGAGAAAGAGGGATGAAGGGAAAGAGAGTGAAAAGGAAGAATCAGAAGAAGAGGAGGATGAGGAGGGAGGAGTGACATTTTTCACAGAGACAGAGGAAGAGCAGGAGGCTCCAATCCAAGCTCACTCATTGGCTGAACACTCAGATAGGACTGAATTAACACGCATGACATCCCTTCAAACAAAACTGCCCAGTTTGGAGGCAGCCATAGCTATGGGTGACATTGACACAGACAGGGGGAGTCCAAATAGGATAAAAACTGATCTCAACAAATCAGAAGGTAGAGATCCAGAATGTTCTAGAACAGCCACCATGGAATCAGACAGAACAAAACAATTTGAATCAAACGTCACAAGCTCAAGAAGTGTCGGAGAGGTATCTACAAATAAAAGCCTCCACCCCAGCCCCCATGACGATCAGGAGCTAATCACCAGTCTGGACCGTAGCTACAGCCGCCTCTTCTCTGACTCCTGGGGGGTCTATGAGACGCAGGAGGAGCCCCACACCTCCCCACCAACACCCCCATCCTGCCACTCCCAACCCCCCAGGGCTAGCCACAAACTCTCCCGCTCCCAGCCCCCCAGGACCATGGTAGAGGAGGATGCGAGACAGCCAGAGCCCACCTCCCCACCCCCACTGTCCTCCCGCTCCCAGCCCACAAGGGTGAGGGTCGATGGGGGTACGAGACCGACAGCGATCCCTACCTTCCAGTACTCAGCCAGTGAAATCATTGACCTCTCCATCAGTCCTCCTCTGGTCCCTGCTGTATCCGCCCTACCTGTTCCTGGTTTGTCTCCAGGGGAAATGACTGATATCGGGGCAGGAGGTAGGATGGAGGGGGTGGTTGGAGGAGGGAAAGTTCCTGTGTGTAAGGAGTTATTCCAAGAGAAGATACCATCTAATCCAGAGGATGTAGAGAGAGAGAGTCATGGTCTTTACAGTATTTCTGTACCCCTCTCCCCTCCTCACAGTACCAAAGAAGAACCTGAGCTTATAGTTCTGTCTGACTCTAGTGAAGAGATGGAGGTAGGGGATCTAGCACCTACCAGCCCCTCTCCACCACCCCCTCCTCGTCTCTCCCAGAACCACCAAGGCTACACCCGAATCAGAACTCAATCCAACACAGAACCCAATAAACCCACCTCAAGAACCCAATCAGACACAGAACCTAAGAAACCCAGCTCGAAGGAGAAAGAGACTAGTAGTTGTTCTGTGAGGGTTCCTTCTGTCTCACCTTCAGATCAAGGCCTAGATCCAGATCCTCCTGGTTATAAACCAGGTTCTACTCTTGGTTCTGCTGGTTCTACTAGTCCCATGGACTGTTCTGCAGAGATGTCTTGGCTTATCCCGGCCACTCCGCCCATGCCATCCAAGAGGACCAACACCAGCTCTACCCAGACCTATAGTAGCATGCGTCGCACTCAGCTCTTTCCTAAGGCTAACTCCTCTTCCTCCTCTTCTGCAGCATCAGTTTTCTCCTCTCCCACCCTCCCTTTCAGGCCTAGTCCTTCAGACCTCCACCACCTCCAACCCGCCCAGGGTTTCTACATATTCTGCCCAGACAGAGTCCTCTATTTCTAGGCAGAAATCAGACAACAGTGGGCCACGGCACTCCAGCTTGGGTCTCGACCATGACGACCGCTCTTCCCAGAAATACAACAGTGGTTCAGTCGGGTCTGACCGTGCTGCCCGCTCCCCTGTATTCACGGTCCCCTCCCAGTCCCAATCAAAACGCTCCCGCCTCCCCCGCCTGACCCCCTCTCTCTCCTTCATCCCTCCACCAGACGCCTCCACCAAGGGTACCCCTCTCCACGACGTCCCCCAGCCTTACAGCTCCACTCCCCTTCATTCAGATCTACCCAAGCCCTCCGCTCCGTCTCTGGCCTCCATGGCCTCCCCTCTTCTGAGAGACGGTGCAGGGGAGGGGGACAGCGGAACCAGGCAGAAAGGGAGGGGGCTGGGGGTCTCTGGGAGCCCATGGAAGAGAGGGGGACTGGGGTCTCTGCACCTGTCCCTCTCGGACCCTTCCGACCCTTCCTCGTCCCCACATAAGGAGTCCCTTACCCAACCGAGAGAGAAGAACGGCTCCCCCGGACAACGCCGACCATCCACCGAGTCTAAATACTTCCACAGCCCAGGAGATAGAGAGACGGAGGGAGAGAAAGAGAGGCCGGTGAGAGAGGAATCGGATGACAGGATGGAAATAGAGGAACTGGAAAGGAGTGTAGTGAAGGAGGAAGAGATAGAAAAAAGAGAAGGAGAAGATATGGAGAGGTCCACTAACAGCTTTCAACAGAGCTTCCTCGGGATGGACGAGCCACCCATGGCCTTCGATGACTCCTGGGGCCTAAACGCAGGAGGAGGGGACACGGACGGAGAACGATCCCAGGACGTGTGCTTCAGTCTGAGGATGGAGAGCAGCGGCGGTGGGGCTAGTCCTCCAAGACAGGGCCGGAGAGATGGAGAGGTTGCAGGACCATCCTCTACTTTTACCCCCTCTCCTCCTAAAACCCACACCAGCCACTCTTTCTCCACCCCCTCTCCACCTCCACCCAACACCACTACGCCCCAGGCCAACGCAGAGATCAACGCTAGCCTCCTGGACGCTAAGATCTGGGACGACTGGGGGGAGGAGGAGGCTCTTCCTCTCTCTCAGAGGGTGAATGCTGTAGCTCTGGCTCAGAGAGTGGCCCAGCTCAAGACTCCAGGTAATTCACTATCAGCAGTTATAACCCCTTGTATAGAGGTTTTAATGTTTAATCTAGCTAGCTCGTGTTCAAAGCTGGCTTCATTACTTCGTACTGTTGAAATATTGAACAATCTTCCATTCGTGATATTCTGATCCATAAATGCAATAAGAATGTGAAACACATTCTCTGTTTTGTTACATCTGTTCTTGTTTGGCTACCCTTTGACCCCTCTCTCCGCAGTGGCGTCCCGTAGGAAAGGCCAGCAGGGCCCCCTGGTCCCCATCACCCCCATGCCCAGCTACTCTGACATGGACACACCTGATCTCAAGAACAAGCTCAATAGGTCTGACTCCCCCAACACATCACTTCATAACAGTCTCTATCTTTTCTATCAGTTATTTAATTCATGCAGTTATTTCACTCCCCGTCACTACTGCCATCTGCAGAACAGACCTAGCCTGGTCTAGTTTCCAGTCCTTTTTCCTCCATTGATAGTTTTTTGATGATTGTTTGGATATTTGTGAGATTATTTTAGGAGCACAATGCATGGCAGTTCTCAGTGTAGTATGTCTATATTCTCCATCTCCCTCTTCATATAGTAAAAGCCTGTTGCCAACCTGCTCTGTATCCTCCCTCCCTCTAGATTCGGTGTGCGTCCCTTACCCAAGCGCCAGATGATCCTGAAGCTCAAGGAGATCCACCAGTACACCCACCAGGTCATCAGTTCAGAGTCCGAGGACGAGGCACCTTCCCTGGGTCGCCCCAGAGCCGTCGGGCCCCTACCCACCACCACCTCCATGGAGCCCACCAGAAAGCCAGTGTCCTGTGCCCAGACTGGGGGGTTTAAAGAGCCTAATGAAAGAGCAGCACCTACCGTCTCCCTGGTGAAACTGCCTGGTGGGGAGGAAGACATGGAGCCTCTCTCTGCCTCTCAGGGATCCAATAAGTCCTCCACAGCACCCAGTGAAGACTCTGAGAGGTTAGCACTGCAAGTGGGTTTTTTTTAACAGATGTTGTTAATGTATGTATTTGTCTAGAATATATTTCTTGACTGCTAAATTCATAATAATAATAAGCCATTTAGCAGACGCTTTTATCCAAAGCGACTTAGTCATGCGTGCATACATATTTTTTTTTTGTGTATGGGTGGTCCCGGGGATCGAACCCACTACCTTGGCGTTACAAGCGCCGTGCTCTACCAGCTGAGCTACTGAGGACCACAAGTCAAATGTACTAACATTGACACTCCTCCGTTCACCCCCCAATCTATTCTCCAGGTCTAATCCAGAGCAGTGCCTCTCTGATGACTCAGATAATGACGACATTACTTCCTCGCAGTCTGCCTCCAAGCTCCAGGACAGCCTCGTCGCTGTCCGTCGTTTCATCCAGTCAGACCCTCACCTCTACGGGCAGATCCTCCACTACCAGCCCCTGGTCCTGTCAGACCTCCAGGCCAGACTCAAGGCCGCAGGTATCCGGCTGGGGGCAGCCAAGCTACTAGACTACCTGGATTCCCAGTGCATTACGTTTACCACAGCCAGGCCTGGACTGAGGGGAGGGAGGAAAGAGGAGAGGGAAGGGGGTGACCAGGGCTGGAGGAAGGGGAGGGAGAGGGGTAGCTAAAACAGCAGATTGAAGTTACCTGTGTGAGGATACAGTGGAGGCAAAGGTGGATTTGAAGTGAACATTTTATCAGTGGCAATTAAGGCTGTCAAATGTTACTACCACTGAGTTAAAGTTGAATTGTTTCCTGTTTTATATTGGTTGTATATTGTTTGGATTTAATTTAAAATGTTGGACTTCTACAACTAAGAGAAAAAATAAAAAAAGTCACATTTATGTTCCCTTCCTAGTGTCAAGTCCCTGGGATGAACTCAATCATCTTTACAGCATGCTATACTAGTCTGGACTAAGCCATTTTCACTGGGTTATTGAACTGTTGTCCACAAGCCAAAATAGTAGTTAACATTCAAAACCCCTGGATTACCCAGGAATAACTTCAGCACAAAGCAAAATTGTAAAAAATATTTTACTGTTTTTCTTTTGTTTTTCTCCAAAGACCAGCCAAGAAAGACTTTTCAATCTGAGCACAAGTTATGTTGGGGGGCAGTGAGGTACTTATTAAAAAGAAAACACAAGCAGAAGAAAAATCACAGATCCTCTTCATTAATTGGTTCTTCTGGTTGATTAGCCAATCAGGAACAGCCACTTTCCTTGGAGGTGGAGCGTTCAGTCTAAAAGTTAATAGCTTCAGGACCATTCGGGGAAAGCAGTGCGTGTCACACACTCCCCTAGCACGGTGCAGATATCAGTATGCCTTTGTACCCAAAATACTAGGTACAAAATACAGGAAGCCCACTAAACTGCAGCTTCAGAACCAGAATGTCCTCTCTCCACCCCTCCTGCGCCGCTTCTTCTGATCACAGCTTGGCCCATGTGGCTTCCTCGCCAGTCAGCACCTCCTGTCCCTTCTCCTCCCTGGTTACTCCTTCTCTTCCTGTCCCGTCACGACAGGTTAGCGATGTTGGCCAGGAAACGCTGGGCCCACCACTCCTCCAGGTCTATGGGCACAAAGTCTGTAAGGAGACAGGGAATAGGTGCTAATGAGAGAACATTACTATTATGGTACCTCAGTCTGAATCTCACAAGTCTACACACCCTGTCTGCATCTCACATAACAGTCTACACATCCTGAGCACAAGTCTGCATAGAGAGAAGGAGAGGCAATAGTGTGAGAAAAGGGAGAAAACCGTATCTGAGAGTTTTGCTTATTGAGATATTACAGTTGTACTTCAAACTCCTCACTCTTTCTCTCTCTGTAACCTCAAACACTACAGTACTGTCCATCTACTGTTAAGTAACTGTCCAGTGACCTACAAACTGAACAGGACTGAACAGGTTGTGTAAAACTTTTGAAAATCAGCAACCAGCAGGTGCACCAGTTTATCCAAGGTGAGAGAATGGTAGTTGTTCATAGACCAGAGAGTTAAACATTAAAACGAAAGCTTGCCTTGCGACCTCTCCTCTCTATCTAGCTGCAGATAAGACAGAGCCAAAAAAATGCTTAGCCTGCTGTGTTTGTTTAGACAGTTCCGAGACAGACGTTTATATGACTAGACAGAAATACACTAAAATAGAGGGTTAAGACCATGACAAAGTGGAGAATGAGTAGGAGTGCTGATCTAGGATCCGTTTTGGTATTTTAGATCATAATGAATAAGATTGTATGGACAGAGGGGACCAGATCCTAGATCAGCACTCTTACTCTGAGGAGCATTGTGAATACAGGCCCTGGGCATCACATAATTGGATGTAATGACATAGGAAGTAGAGGTAGACTGTAGTGTACAGCCTCTCCCAAATATCTTCAGTAGAGCAAGATGGAGGCTGATTAAACAAGATGGCGGCTAGTGAATAAGGCCTAGATACTCACTCTTCATTGTGGTACTGGGGGTCTTCTCTGCGTACTGCACGGGGCCCTGGCCACACACAGCAGCAGGCTCCACACTGCCCTCTCCATCTCCTGCCAGCTGCTGCTCTATCTCCTGCCATGCTGCAGAGGGGAGAGAGAATATACAGGGGCATTAATACACAGACACTAACTGAAGATACATGTTACAGCAAATAACTTTTTCCATGCGTGTTAGGCTGCACTTCCTAGGTAGTTGTAGAAAAACATGCAGCCTATGACTACATGAAACAAACTGGGCATGGCCGCAGGAAGATGTTTTGGGTTGGGGGTGCTGTTTATACAAATATAAATAAATTATTGCGATCTTACAGTATCATGGGCTGCTGCAGCACCCTTCGCACCACAACTTCCCACAGCTATGAAACTGGGGGTTCACGTTTTCCTCTTTTACATAAATTATTATTATAATTTTTATTTTAAATAAACTATTCCTCTAGAGGTGTAACCTTGCTTATGCTCCAAATTCAAATGATACAGCCAACCATGTGTACTCGAGTGGACCAGGCCAGAACTACAGTACATTGCATCAGCCACACTACTAGAAGGAGTTGAGATAAGACTGGAGGTTGTGTGTTTCAGTATGGAGTTAAAACACACCCCTTACACTTTCAAATTCAGTGTGTTGACTGTATACATCTCTGTGAAAAGCATTTGAATGTAAATGTACAAAAATAAAACCAAGCTCACTGAAGTGCAAAGTGTAAAGGAGTTTCACCTTACTCACATTACTTGGTAGTGTTTTCATGGTTTCATTGACAACCGATATCACTTTATAACACAGTGACTGAACTTGACTATTTCACGCACTACAATATAGTTGTTTGCATTGGCAACGGAGTCAAATACTTTCTTTAAATGAGTAGAGCTGTGCTCTGTAAGATGTTTTATAAAAACAAACGGGATGCCCAGAACTTCCTTCTGACCGTTAATATTGAGCAGTGCTCCAAGAACAACAGAACAGGTCATGCTGAGTCTTTTCCATTCTGCTACAAGTCATGTCTTCATCAGAGCAGGCTGAAAGTATAGAACAAACTATCCCAAACTGTGTCAGAAAGAATGTCTCCACTTATGTACTTGATCACTTCGATAAAGCACTCAAATATTTCCATCAACCAAATCAAATCGTATTGGTCACATACATGTGTTTAGCAGATGTTATTGCGGGTGTAGCAAAATGCTTGTGTTTCTAGCTCTGACAGTGCAGTATATCTAACAAGTAATATCTAACAATTTCACAACATATACCCAAAACACACAAATTTAAGTAATCTAACCATTTACCTTCTCTATGGTTTGAGGATTTTTAACAAACTATACCCAAACTGTGTCAGAAGGAATGCCTCGACTTTTGCACTTGATTACATCATTTAAACTATGTGGATTATTGTAGCCATCAACCACTTAGAATGTATGGTCCAATTATTATTTTGAATGAGGTCATGTGGTTATTTCTCTCTCTCTCTTCACCATCTTTTATCCTCCCTGTTTGCTTTCATGTGTAGGCCTAAACTCCACTTGGTTCTCTCGCTCTCTCTTCTATACCTCCATATATCCATCTCTCTTCTATATATTCACATCCCCTGTTTGCTTTAGTGTCTATTCTCCTCATGCATTAGGTAGTCTAGTCCTCAAATGCAGTGATTTGAATGCAGGTAGCTTAGTGGTTAAGAGCGTTGTGCTAGTAACCGAAAGGTTGCTGGTTCTAATCCCCGAGCCAACTAGGTGAAAAATCTGTCGATGTGCCCTTGAGCAAGGCACTTAACCCTAATTGCTCCTGTAAGTCGCTCTGGATAAGAGCGTCTGCTAAATGACTAAAATGTAAAATGCTGCTGGTCAAGATGTTAGTCAGCTACAATGGCCTTCCATTCAAATGATGTGAACTGGAATGTGTATGCATAAAACAACTTAGTATAGCTCATTAATAACCTTCAAATTGCATATTTGAGCATCTACAATACTCCTTATATCGTCAGGATGAAAGCCTTATACTGTGTGAATGAGTGTGAGTCCATGGCTCTGTGCATGAGAAAAATGGATAACGTCTCATCTGTCTAGTAGTCAATGAGTCTCACCTTCGTACACAAATCGGACATTCTCTTCATGAGCGGGGGTGAAGCCTGCAGATGGAGTGTCTTCCTTCTGTGTGGCTGCAGTGTGGTATCGCTTCCCGTTCAGGCGATTAAACACTATCTTAGGAGCTGGAGAGCTAGACGACAGATAGAAAATTACGGTAATTAAGCATGTTCTGAATCAGTAACAGTGTGTGAAATCTCATTGTGTACACCTCTGGAATAGCTGGTCTTGCTTCAGAAATGTATATGCTGGGCACTAGATTATACTTTTTCCATAAAACCCAAAAGGACTATTTATTTTTTAATAGAATAAAACTTTATTGTCCATCCAGGATGGACTTTTTTTTGTTGGCATCACCTTCCATTAAAAGGATCAGATACATATTTAAACCAGTCTGTCCATCATGCTGCATACACTAAAAACATAGAGGACATTGATACATTCACTCACAACCGACCGCTGTCCCAACTGCACTGGATAGATAAGTACATATACTGATACAATTTACTTTGCATTTAGTACTTTGCATATCTAGCCTAGAGGTTCAGTGGTGGTGTCTATAATATTCAGGAATTCTCTTCTCCCCAGATAGCATGTCATGCCCACTCTGCTACCATAGAAATGTAAGGATTGGTGGGAATCCGCTGTACCTACTTCCGTACACAATGACGTTGCTATGGAGACAACAGAGACGGATTATAAAAGTCTGTGCGGAGTGATTCCCAGGAAACGATTGAATGACTATGGCATTATGTAACACGCGTGCATTAGGCTACATTGTATGAATGCATTTGATCCTGTATTGAAAATATACCAACGTATATGACAGGGCAAAATGCTTGCTTACTCAACCAAATGCCCCATTGCTAAACTTAACCGTGTGTCCTTACAGACCGCGCGAGGCATATTCTACTTTGAACGCATGCTACGTTCTTATGTTGCCCATAGTTCTACACTGGCTACAATGTAACCACTGACCGATTCCCCACGTTCGAACGGCTGTTCAAAAATGGTGCAATGTTTCTCTACTGCGTTTGGACAATAAACAAATGGACAAAGTTAGCACGCGCTGCTAGCCAGCAAGCCTGTCAGCTAACCTCGCAAGGTCAGACCGTTTCCGAAGAATGGAGAAAACGTTGCAATGACACTTCAACGACACAATGTAGCTTCTCGGTGTATCGATACTATATTGCAGTAAAATACAGGATAACGAACGTTCTAAGATTAAATTCCGTGAATCGTGACGTACTACAAAAATGATAGTGGAAACAACGTTACATGATCATGTTTTTCCACTATACGCCACACACATACCATGGAATCTTCAGCTGACTGGTTTGCTCGCGCTTCTTGATATGATTATGATAAATGATAGGCCTAAAGTAATGCAATATGGCAACTTACTTTGAGGATAACCAGGGGGTCGGTTTGAGCTTCAAGTCGTTGGTTTTATTCTCAATTTGCTGCGTGGGACCTGAAATGGAAATAGAATAGCAATGTTGCACTGATCACAACATGTATGCTTGTCATTAAAATATGCTTTTGAATCCGACAGATCTAATCGAATGTAACATATAGGCCTAGGTTCAATTAAACACAGTTCCATGTTCATGATATAGGTTTTGAAAAGTGCACAACTGCTTTATTGACATGACTCGAAGGCTTTTATCGATAATATCAATAATATAGGCAATACATAATTGGATTGGAGAATAAAAAAATACATAATTGATGCTCACCTGTCCTGCGCTGTGTAACAAGTTTACTGGGACCTCTAGTAATAGTGTACATCATGTGAAAGCCGAGAACTTCAGTGTTGCGAAGGAAAGATAAGTGGGTTATCTTCAAACAAGTCGGAAGTGGTGTGATAGCCTACAATGTGTCGACTCCAAATACCGTGGTGGTCTTTAAAGCAACCCACTTTTTGGCCGAGTTCTCTCGACGCAGCCACGGTGGGAAAATTATAGCGCCTGCTTTTCCAAGTCAGCTGCTCCGTGCTACGTAGCCTACGTCTCCGGTTCGGTTAAGAGATCTCGGTACTGCAACGTGCTCCTGTGCTGTGCTGTGCTGTGACCGTCGCTGCTACGAATAAGCATATGTTTGGTTAAAGAGGCCGTCTGCTGGTGCTTCAAGGGTATAGCCAATAGGTTAACCAAGGTGAATCGTGAATCAATACTGATATGGAATTCAAGTGTCTGTTGGAGAAGAAACTCCAACCCTTCCGATCAATGTTCTTGAATAGAAAATACTGTTAGTTATATTGATTAAATTCCCCTTTGTGAGAGACAACCCTATCATACAATGACAGTAACACCGCACACATGATTTCATCAGGACACTGATAGGACCGTCATGGGCACCCCGGTCATGTCACTACACGCCCCCAACCGTCGCCGTTTTAAAGGAGGAGCGCCCTTCAGAACGCACTACTGCTGACCTATCACCCGGTAATCCGAGCACGTGGAGATTTGATGCCTATTCACGATGATCAGGTTTAACATTTGGAATGAAATGGAGAAGTTAAATCAGATTGCTGAAATAAATAAAAAATCAACCACAAATGTTCTCTGATTTATCATGAGTCATTATGCAAACACAGCCATAGGCTGTTAGTATAAGGCATGCGTTTTGGTTGTTGTGCAATAGCCTAGTATATATGTTCAAAATACATATTGGGAGTCAGAACATATGTAAGACAGGCAAGACATGTTTGGTAACTGAAGCTCGCCAGTGACAAGAGGAGGCTCAGACAGGCTTAACCAGGGTAATACTAGTCTACCTAGGCTTCACCCTGCCCCCTACACTAGGATACATCTGCTCTATATAGGTCAATGTATGGGACTAACCCTAATCCTGCCCTCTATCATCAAGGACCTCAATCACCTGAGCCAGAGCCTGTTCACCCCACTACCATCTAGAAGGCAGAGACAGTACAGGTGCATCAAAGCTGGGACGGAGAGATTGAAACCACTAGCAGGCCTCGGCCCAGTACCCTGCCCTGAACTTTACTCACTGTTACTAGCCGGCTACCACCCGGTACTCAGCCTTGCACCTTAGAGACTGCTGCCCTATGTACATAGTCATTGAACACTGTTAGTAGCCTCAGCACCAGACTTTGCTTACGTTGTTTTAAGAGGTGAGGGGAAAGCATGAGGCAGAGGGTTGAAACAATATGGTGGACACTGCATGAGGACAGCTAGAGAGAGAAGCTGAACAAATATACTTCATCCTTACTGTCCTTTTTTATTTTCCCATTCCTATAAGATTATTTCATCCAAGTTAATGCATCTTATTAGGTTAGTATTTCATTGGAAGGCTGGTTGGTTGCCCACAGACTGTTCCTTATTTCAGTTAAAGCACATTATTGCACTGTGTGAGAATACAGCGTTCATAGTAGCACAGATCCTTGACAATTGGAATGGTAATGATTCAAAACCATGACATATGTACAAACTGTGGGTCCCGTGTGGCTCAGTTGGTAGAGCATAGCGCTTGCAACGTCAGGGTTGTGGGTTTGATTCCCACGGGGGACCATTATGAAAATGTATGCACTCACTACTATAAGTCGCTCTGGATAAGAGCGTCTGCTAAATGACTAAAATGTAACTGTACAGTGGGCTGCAGTAGGTGCACTCCTGAGTTGGTGATTACAGTACATGGAGACATGTTGTTCACTAAATGAAGTCTCCCTGTCATTTGAAGGCTATTGTATTGGACTGAATATTTGTATTGGATGGAATATTTGTATTGGACTGAATATTTGTATTATGTCTCGGGCATACAAGATACAATACACAGTAAGTTAAGTAACACAGGGTTAAACAGTATGTGTCCTCCTGTCCAATATGGGCTTTTAACTCGCTTCAGTGTGTGTGTTTTGCGCATGTTTCTGTGTGTGTGATGTCCGTCCACTGTGTTCAGTAGTGAGGATCACAGTCCTCCAGTAGGCTGTCAGTGATGTAGCTGACGTTGAGTATCTCCTGGTAGTATTGTTTCTCCTCAGCTGTGTTGACCGTCCAGCCCACCACCTCAACCCCTCTCTGGGCCCAGTACTGGACATAGTCCCTGGAGATGGAAGAGAGAAGAGAAAGTCAATAAGGAATCAATGGGCAATCAGATCAATCAAATCAATACATGTTATGTAAAATGAGATGTTGCATAATAAAGGTATACTTTGTGATTTTAGTCCTTTATCTACTTCCCAAGAGTCAGATGACCTCATGCAGTGGAGGCTGCTGAGTGGAGGACGGTACATCATAATGGCTGGAACGGAGTGAATGGAATGGCATCAAACACATGGAAACCACATGTTTGATGTTGTTGATACCTTTCCACTCCAGCCATTACCACGTGCCTGTCCTCCCCAATTACGGGGCACACACACACACCCCTATGAACTCGTATGTCTCTGTGTCCAGTATGAAGGAAGTTAGAGGCATTTCCGCGAGCAATTGAGGGTGTGTACACTTCAAACAACTAACGATGTGGGTAACCGTGGCGATGTGTAGTAACAACAAAGCAGCAGTACATAAGGGCTAGAGCAGCAAACCTTTTGTTTCATCAGAGGAGACATCGCTACTTAAAGCGGAATCATGTCATTATATAGAGGTCTAAAGTAGTGCACTATATAGGGAATGGACATATGGGCCCTGGTCAAATGCTTGTGTTCAGTCCCCGCCTGTATTCCCTGTTCACCCACGACTGTGTGGCCGCGCACGACTCCAACACCATCATCTAGTTTGTTTACGACACGACGGTGGTAGGCCTGATCACCGGCGACGATGATGAAGCCTACAAGAAGGAGGTCAGTGAACTGGCAGTGTGGTGCTGGAACAACAACCTCTACCTCAACGTCAGTAAGACCAAGGAGCTGATCGTGGACTACAGGAAAGGGTTGAGAGCTTCAAGTTCCTCAGTGTCCAAATCACTAAGGCCTTAAAATGGGCCACACACACAGTCGTGAAAAAGGCGCAACAGCGCCTCTTCCCCCTCAGGAGGTTGAAAAGATTTGGCATGGGCCCTCAAATCCTCAAAAAGTTATACAGCTGCACCATTGAGAGCATCTTGATTGGCTGCATCACTGCTTGGTTTGGCAACTGCACCGCCGTCGATCACGTGGCGCTACAGAGGCTGGTGCGGACATCCCAGTACATCACTGGGGCCGAGCTCCCTGCCATCCAGGGCCTTTATATCAGGCGGTGTGAAAGGAAGGCCTCGTCAATTATCTTGAAAAAACGTATACTTAAAAACTGTAAATCAACCAATCCTCTGTCGTTAACACAATGGAAAGGTCAAACGCTTTGCTATCTGCGTGGGCGACAGAGAGAAACAAAATGGTGCAGTTGGAGGCCATGTGGCGGAGAGTGATGCGGGCGCTGGAGATGGGGGTGTGAGCATGTGGGTCTGGGCAGGTGTGATGTCATTGATGATGTCGTTTGTATGTGAATGTTTTATATTGTAAAAAAAAAAAAAACATTAAAAAAAAAGAAAGGCCCGGAAAATCATTAAAGACTCCAGCCACCCAAGCCATACTGTTCTCTCTGCTTCCGCATGGCAAGCTGTACCAGTGCATCAAGTCTGACACCAAGCTGTACCGGTGCATCAAGTCTGACACCAAGCTGTATCGGTGCATCAAGTCTGACACCAAGCTGTACCGGTGCATCAAGTCTGACACCAAGCTGTATCGGTGCATCAAGTCTGACACCAAGCTGTACCGGTGCATCAAGTCTGACACCAAGCTGTACCGGTGCATCAAGTCTGACACCAACAGGCTCCTGAACAGCTTCTATCCCCAAGCCATAAGACTGCTAAATAGCTAACAAAATGGCTACACGGACTATCTGCATTGACCCTTGTATTTTTATATTTTTTGCACTGTCTTTATGCACACTCACAGGACTCTACACACTCACTCACACTGACACTCCAACACACACATTTATATTGACTCTACACGCACACCCACATAATCATCATATACACTGCTGCTACACTGTTTATGATATATCCTGATGCCTAGTCACCTTACCCCTATACATATCTACCTCTATCGATCCAGTATCCCTGCACATTGTAAGTATGGTATTGGAACTGACCCTGTATAGCTTACTTACGTTCTCTTGATCTTCTTACTTCAAGTTTTCTTGTGTGTTTTTGTTCTACATTGGTATTGATAACTGCATTGTTGGGATAAGTGCTTTTCACTGTACTTCTGCACGTGACATTAAAACTTGAAATGTAGTGCACTATATAAGGAATCGGGAGCTATTTTGGACTCTGAATAGCCAGAGGTGACTCACGGTGATATGAAGTTCTTCTGCACCAGGAAGGCGGAAACGCCACAGAGGTTCCAGAGCAGGTGGTGGTGGGCCCAGTCCACTATCACGTCTAGCGCCTGCATCCAGTGGTGTTTCCATAGCGACGAGAAGCGCGGCGTGCCGTCACCCAACCGACACAGGCTCCATGGCCGGTGGGTCAGCGCCGTCACCACTTCCGGGTCAGCCTGACGCATCTGGGGTCAGGGGTCAATGGAGAGAGAGCAAGAGAGAGCGAGCGAGAAGGGATTTTACTACGAGTTTATCATGTCGACCTTTCAAATGTCTATCTGTAATATCATTTTCTTTTCATAGTGAAGCTGAAAAATGGCTGCCATTTCATGGAAATACAGAGAGATAGACACATCTAACCCAGTACCCATATAGACAGACAGCCCACTAGTATCCCCTTGTCACCCCAACAGCCCACGGTTACCCTGTAGATGACTTTGGGCTCAAAGGAACAGACGATGCTGGTGTTGTAAAGGACAGGGTGTTTCTGATACATCTCCTTTAGGGCTGCCGCTGCCTGGCAGAGGACAGGAGAAGACATGAAACAGTCATTAATACACTTTCTGTATGTTTGTAGAGTCTGTGTGTATAGTTGTGTACGTGTTCCTCTCAGACCCACTGGTGAGCCAGCAACTGTTGGTGGTCAGTTAGATCAGTGGTTCACAAACTGTGGGGCGTGCAAAGGGGTCGGCGGGTTGGTGCAGATCCCCCCCCCCCCCAAAAAAAGGAACTCAGTCGGGATTTCAACTTACTCTTGAAAGTTGTAATAGTAGAATGCACAAAGTGCAATTTCGAAATTGGGTAGTGCATCAGCAGATTTCCTCTTGTCATGTCAGTCATTGCAGACCTTAGAGAGCTATTTATAACTTGTCAGAAATAGTTTTTTATCCCATTGATTTTGTTAACGTTTGAGTCACTCAGATATCACATGAACACACATAAGACAAGGCTAAATGTGTAGAATTGCAGAAAATGAGCTTTAAAACTGCAAAAGATGTTCCCCAAGTGAAATAGTTTGGGAACCACTGAGTTAGATGTCTGCTCTCACTTCTCCGTTTCTTGAACTCAAGTGGACCACTGACTAAAACAACAGGCATTCAATGGGCCTAGCTAGTCCACGACTGGTCTAAAAGTGTACTGTTTAACAGCAAACAAGAGAAGTATCAAGAAGAATTCAGTAGAGTGAAACTGTGTACATTAACAAAAATCTTTATCAGAGGCTTCTGATTAGCTGTACCTCATCTGGGTGACCTTTGACATCAAAGTAGATGGTGAGCTGCAGTTTGATGCATTCCTCCACAGCCTCCTGCAGAGTGGGGACCTTCTCTCCCTGGAACTTGTCACTGTAGGGGCCACATAACACATACCATGTCATCATTGGCCTTGTCCCAGCTAACTAATAAGCACAGAACTCAATTTAAACCATGATCAGTTATTTATTTGAATATGTGTTTTAGTGTTGGGAACAAAAACATGCACACACTGCGACCTCCAGGACCGGAGGTGTCCTACAGTATCACTGCAGCTCTCTCTTCCTCTCTTTCCACTCACCTGAGCCGGTGCTTAGCGGCAGCGTCCAGTTTACTCAGCTCAGAGAAGCTCAGCTGTGTGAGGGGTCCCGACCCGTTGGTGGTTCGGTCTACTGTCTCATCGTGCATCAGAATAGGAACTCCATCTGATGTGAACTCTAAGTCCAGCTCTACGCCTGTCGCCCCGTTCTTATGGGCCTAGAGATGCAGAGAGAAAGAGAGAGAGAGGAGAGGGAGATGAGACGGGGTTAGAAAAGGAAAAGGACATGGCATGTAGTGAAGCAATGTAGTGCTTGACTGGGTCTCCACTATATGCCAACTGAAGGTTTGACAGAATCATCTGGAGGCTGGGTAGGGGGAGAGCGAGCAAGAGAGAATCTTGTGGCTTTCAAGAACCACGAATCCTTGTTGAACAAATACTTCTCTCCTCGACTTCCTGACTCACCTCCCGGATAGCAGCCATGGTATTCTCCGGCGCATCATGCCCTCCACCCCGGTGAGCGACCAGGGACACCCCACCGGAAGCAGCGTTCTTGGCGGGCCGAAGCACCTGTCTGGCCTGGCTGGTCGGGACTTGGGGAAAACGGAACATGATCAAAAAGGCATAGAGGCAGGCGGTGAGGGCGGTGGACCATATCGGGCTCCGGGTTCCGAGGAGAACGACCACGAACACCACCGAGAATAGGGCGATTTCGTCTCCGAGTTGCAGCATTTTTGCGCCGAGTCCATACGGTCACCTGACTCACAATTATGTGGTGTAGACAGACAACAGTGCATTAACACTGTCATAAAGTTACCATTTATTAATAGGCCAACGAAGCTTGGAAAGGTGTCTCAATATTGTTCAAGTTGTCTGTAAGCAGTGACACTTCTTTGGAAGACCGGCACTCAGGACTCCACCGAAGATGGTCTTGTCATTCCTTCTTCAGTCTATGCAGAAGCAGTGTTGCCAACTAATTTTCAGGAGGAAGTTCTTCTTCTTCTTCTTCAGTGGGGTTTATCGGCGGTTGACATACAACGTTATGGTGCATTTCCGCTTCCTACCGTACTGGAGTGTGGGCCAGAGACAGGAATAAATTAAATACTACCTGCCAACCCCGTTTCTCTTAAAAAAGTTTACAAAATATTTGAGACTATATCTAATGACGCTCTACTCAATATACTCTTTAAACTAATATCCTGTATCCCCTTCTCCCTCATACTAAATCTCATCCTTTCTCTTTCCCTCTGATACTGCCCACACTTTAGCAATACATGCTCCACAGTCTCTATTTCCTGACAATAATCACACTTTCCTCATGGATGCTTTCCTATCACGTTTAATGACTTATTCAACTGGCTGTGTCCCACCCTTAATCTTGTAAAAATAGCCTCCTCTCTTCTGTCCCTTCCTGCCGTCCTCCCCTCCCCGACTTTCCTCTGTACTTGAAATAAAGCCTTCCCTTAATATTTCTATTCCACTGCTCCTGCCATCTCTTCTTCAGGGGAAGTTGCTAGAGGCAGATCGATTTGTTGCTAAATGACGCGATGACATCATTACGCAATAGCGTAAAACTGCGTCATTACGTAGAAACACACATAACGTTACTCAAATTGACTGGCCATCTCTGCGACAAATATGATTTGACATTTGTTAGTTTAGATTTGTTTGTTTATTATCACAGATTTTTATTTGTAAAAGTAATATACACACAACACATTTTATATGAGCAGATATTTTTACTTTTAAACACAACACATTGAATTATTGAACAATTACACATTACACATTATTGAACAATTACATTTTATTTATTTTCTTATTAACTAGTAAACCTACACATTCTGAACAATTATAGTTTTAAGCAGTGTATTGGTAGTTAGTTAACATGCTACCTAACTGATCAACAATTATAGGTACAAGCTAATAACAAGGTATATATGTTATCTTATTGAACAAGCAACTTAACTCAAATAATGATGTGTGCGCTAGGCATCTCTCTCCAGCTCTCTCCAGGTTGTTGTGCTGCTTGGCTGGCCTGCTGCTGCCTGTGCACGAGTTGAGCGCCGGCTGCTGACGTCACTCACAAAGCACTTTTGCAGCCAGGCAAAGTGTGTGACAGAGAAAATCGTTTTTGTGTCATTAAGAGGTAAAATGCGTTCATTTGAGCGGTTGAGTCACCTTTCAAAAGTTGGTAATAGTTCCAAATACATTTTTAAAAGTAGCTAAATTTGTTGCTAGGTGCTGTTTGAAAAAAAAGTTGCCAGGGTAGTCTGAAAAGTTGCTAAATCTAGCAAAAAAATTGCTAAATTGGCATCACTGTAAAAAGCAACCCACAAAATAATTCAGTGGCTACATTTGAAATCGTTCGCGTAGTTTCACAACATCCTATTCACATGATCAAACAGCAACATTGTTGCCTCATAACTGTCATATAGGACCTTCCACTTTCTATTTTAATAGTTTTGTGGAACCTAAAGTAAAAAAAAAAAAAAAATGTAAAAGACTTGTTCCATAAATATCATTACTTTTCAAAAATAATTATTGTTCACATTTATGAATATTAAAGATAAAAGCAATTGCACAAATACTTTATTTTGACCTTATCTCACTGTGCCCACAAGAGGGCGGAATTGCTCTTGGAACAATTTGGAACTGCGTAATTTACTTCCTGTGCCAAAGTGCAAGGTCTGACCTAGCCAGCTGGCTAACAGCGTGAATTATACCTTCCTGATATGTTTTCTCACATATTTTGCAAGATAGAAGCCAGCAAAAATGGTAAGTTGTGTCTGAGTATATGTATACATGGTTGGTAAATTAGTTATTTCTTATTGTCGTTTGACTCAATATTAGACTAGCTGTCAGTTGGATAGCCAGTGAAATAGAATTGAGTAAAACAGAATAGAATACTGTTAGAATAAATTGGATGAATGAGGATGCAGCTACATCATCGGTTATCTGTTGTGTGACTTCTTGCTCTCTAAACAGCTTGTAGTTTAAACAAAAACAAAGTAGTTTTATATTTCTCATGTCTCTCCATCTGTTGCTCTCTGCCCGTCTCTGGCTATCACTACCCTCTCTCTCTATCCCACAGCATAGGTCTACAACACTCTTCCCTCAGCTGGCCTACCATGTGCTGGCCCACTGCAGAGGATACTGTGTGTTGAGAGGCAGCTCAAGGTCGCTACTCTGTGGCCCACAACCCCATGGACTCACCCGACTGGACCCAAGATGGACGCTTAGTATCCAACACAGCTACCCAGTACCCCCATCCCCCCACCTCACTGCTCTCACCAAATACTCGGACTTATCCACACAAAAATACAACCTCATCTACTCCTTACCTCACATCAAAGTCCTCAGAACGGTCTCCAGACTCAAACTGCTCCAAACCGGAATCACCATGCTCTTACTCCCGCCCGTCTACTACATGTATTCCCAAGGAGATGCTTCGTACCTACTGGTTAGCTACAGTACGGGAATAGCGGCGTTCGCCGCCGTAATGCTCTACTCAGCTAGTCACTACCTGAGACGCGTCGTTGGGATGATGTACCTGGATGAGTCCCAGACGACGCTGAAAGTGTCTCACCTGACGTTCTGGGGACGGAGGAATGACGTGTATCTGCCCGTGATGGACGTTATGACTCTGGGGGACACTGGGGACTCCATAGGGGAGACTATATTGAGGTTGAAGCGATATAGTAGTTCTGAGACGCTGTACTTCTCCACTAGACTGGGACGTGTGGTGGATAGGCAGGCCTTTGAGAAAGTGTTTGGGACTTTGATTTGATGTTTTTATAGGGCTTTGCAGAACACTGAGCCGAACAGAGCCCAGCCAAACCAAGCCGGCCTGGTTATGCATCCACCATAGTTCCACCAAACATCCAAGCCAGCACAGTTCGGTTCGACACAGTAGTGTGAAAGGGGTATTTTGTGTTTTTGTGAGCATTTGAAATGTTGTATATTCAGCAGCTAAAGAGATGACTCCCTACATATACTGCAGTCTGTTCTGCCCCATTTCTTGACTACTGTGTGTGGCCAAAAGAAACCGTGACATTTGTATTGGACAACTGCTCAGACTCACAACCTTCAATAAATACACCCTGATAATTTATTTTAAGGTACAGTACACAAAATACCCTATACAGAAAATGTCTACAGTTATTTGACCTTTAGAAAGTCCATTGCAATCAATCAGCCCACATTCACTTATGGAAATCATTTTCTTAAAGCATTGGCGTGAAGAATATACAGGAGTGTATACCCTGCTGGTCATCTATGAACATCTTGGAAGAATCATCTGGCTTTAATGCCCATGTACCCTTAATCACCACCCAGCACAGCCAGAAGAGGACTGGTTCCTCTAGGTGTCTTCCGAGGTTCCTGCCTTTCTAGGGAGTTTTTCCTAGCCACCGTGCTATTACATTTGCATTGCTTGCTCTTTGGAGTTTTAGGCTGGGTTTCTGTATAAGCACTTTGTGACATCTGCTGATGTAAAAAGGGTTTTATAAATACATTTGTTGGAGGAGAGTCAACCTCTTTAATGTAGATTGACAGTGTATGGGTCTGTTTGAGCAGGGCCTCCATGGATTCCTGTGTAGACTCTCTACTTGAGCTCAGCGATAGCGTCATTAAAGATATCCAGGAAGAGATGAGCATGGTGTTCCTTGAACACTAGAGCTGGTCGGAACCGGATAGACTGGGTTCCACAGCCCCCTAGAACCACACCTGGAACAACAAAACAACGCCATAAATAGTATTCATTCTTTACTAACAATTCAACGATTCACTTGATAGTACTATTGAATGTAAGTGATATGGATGTACCTTATCAATACTAAGCTAGTAAAGATTCTTATGCTGTATATTGTCCAGCATACCCTTGAATAATTTGATAATCTTGCTAAATTGATAGTCTTGTTATTCTTTTAGTTTATTAATTACATTTACATTTTAGTCATTTAGCAGACGCTCTTATCCAGAGCGACTTACAGTTAGTGAGTGCATACATTTTCATACTGGCCCCCCGTGGGAAACGAACCCACAACCCTGGCGTTGCAAGTGCCATGCTCTACCAACTGAGCTACAGGGGACTACGCTAAGAGTCTTACCCTTATTCCTGGCCTAGAGGATTCATCACATCCTACATACTAAGAGTCTTACCCCACCCCACCCCCTCTTTTACGCTGCTGCTACTCTGTTTATTATCTATGCATAGTCACTTTAACTCTACCCACATGTACATATTACCTCAATTACCTCGACTAACCGGTGCCCCCGCACATTGACTCTGTACCGGTACCCCCTGTATATAGCCTCCCTACTGTTATTTTATTTTACTGCTGCTCTTTAATTATTTTATACCTATCTATTTTTTACTTCACTTTTTTTCTTAAAACTGCATTGTTGGTTAAGGGCTTGTAAGTAAGCATTTCACTGTAAGGTCTACACCTGTTGTATTTGGCGCATGTGGCAAATTGTATTTAGATTTAGAGGATTCATCACATCCTACATGCTGAGAGTCCTACCCTTATTCCTGGCCAGTGCTACATGCTAAGACTCTTACCCTTATTCCTGGCCTTGAGGATGAGGCTGTTGCGTGTGTCTTCATCCTTAACATCGATGGCACAGAACGTCCCGATGCCCCTCGCTCTACTGAGCAGGTGGGGGTACTTATCCTGGAAGAGAGAGGAGCGGGGTGATGCATGCTATGTTACACATACACAAAACATACACACAAACTACAAACGACCACTCTCCCTCTACTTATAACACAAATACAGTACATATTAAACAGTGACCATTCTTCACTCCACTAACAGTGACTCCTAACCTTTGACCCTAACTCACCTGTAGGTCGTAGAGTCCCTCCAGCATGACCTTGCCTGACCTCTTGGCCTGGTCCAGCAGGTTCTCTGTCTTGATGACCTTTATGACCTCTGTCAGCAACAGGTTCTTAGTGTGGTCTCCAAGCCACGTGTTGAAGATCCTGAACGGCTGGAGAAGAAGAGAAAGAGAGGAGAGGAGAGAAGAGAGAGGAGAGAAGAGAGGAGAGAAGAAGAGAAAGAGAGGAGAGAATAAGAAGAGAGGAGGAGAGAAGAGGAGAAGAGAAGAAGAGAGCAGAAAATAAAGAAAATACGGTAAAAAGGTTGATACAAAAGTACCACACGCACACTACCTTGTCAGGCTGAAAGCCGTCTTTCTGGTAGTACCCTCCTGTCAACATCTTCTTGCTGAAGGAGACGATGTCAGCGGGGTCGTCCAATCCCCAGTGCTCGTGGGCCCAGAATTTCCCCGTAGACCCGCCCCCTGTCTGCACCTCATCCACTAGGAAGGCACAGCCATGCTGACGGACACACAGAGGTCAACGGTCAGTAGGTTGAAATGACTAGAGACCTGTGTAATAAGAATACTAGTTACAATGTACTTACACAGTACATGACTGATTTCTAGATGAGTGTACCTTGATAGCTTCATATTATATACCAGTCAATGTATTTAGATAATTACTTGACAAAACACACCTTGGTAGGTGGCTTATACCAAGTCTCAATCAAACGAATCCTACTCAATATCTACTATTTTGATCATTTTCACTAACAATCAAGAGAATCAAATAAGTTACTATCAGTATGATTCATATCCATACAGATGATCTGTACTCTGTCTATAACCAGTAAGGATCCTTACTGTACCTTCTTGGTGATTTCCCTGAGCTTCCTGTAGAAGTCGAAGGAGGCGTGGTTATCCCCTCCCTCTGCCTGGATTGGCTCGATCACCACCCCTGCCACGTGCCGACCCTTCTGATTCCACTTCACTATCAGGTCCTCCGCCTGAGATGGGAGGGATTGAACAAGGGATGAGAGGAATAGAGGCAAGAATGAGGGTCGGGGGAAGAAAGAAAGAAAGGATAGTTCAGATGGAAAAATTAAAAAAAAGAAGGATGAGTTTCAGATGGATGAAAAGAGTTGGAAGATGAGTAGGAATGAGGGATGAGTCAAAGGGATGGATGAAAGTTAGATGGATGAGAGTCAGTTGGATGGGCAGATTAGGAAGAAATTATACTGTATCTAGAGAGAGAGACTCAGACCTCCTCCAGGCAACGGGCCTCCTCCTGTGCGTTCTCCCTCTCGAACTGGTCCAGGGGGTACCTCAGCTGGGGGAAGGGGGCGATGGGCCAGTCAAAAGACGGCACGTCAAGCTTCTGGATGGCCTTGGTGTGAGTGGTGGCCAGGCAGCCTGGGAGAATAGGAGACTTTATATTACGTGGCTCTAAAACCTATGTATGGCATTGCAATTACCTACATCCCAGTTGGAAGTACTTTGTGTACCCACTCAGTACCCTAGTCAGACTGTATACGCCTAAGTAATTACTATGTAAGTACATATTCAAGTCTTACCCAGAGTTCTTCCGTGAAATCCGCCCATGAAGGACAGAAGAGTCAGGTCAGGGCAGCCAGGAACCTGGAAAAAGAACAAGAGAACACCAGACTGAGAAATTGCTGGCCCTATATAACAAAAGGTTCAATTACAAACAGGAGAGTTGTGATGGAGTGTGAGTAACCTACCTGGTTGATGACACTGGTTCTTACTTCCTCGGGAGTTGGTTCCGGAGTTCCTCTCATCTTGTTCTAAGAAATACATAGAATAAAAGCCTGCTATATATAAAGCCCATATTTAATATACACTTTATAAATGCGTTACTATCCATGGTCCTGCCCTTACTCTGTACCAGATGAAGATGGCTTTGTAAGCGTTCTCATTGGAGCAGGATCCGCAGGACATGGTCTGGACCCTGCTGAAGCCCTTGGGCGCCACCTAGTGGACAAATGGAGGAAGCGCACCAGTCATGTAAGCACTTGAGCTCCATTTATTGTTGGGTTTGAATCAGTTGATAAAGTACAAAGTCCAGGGGATAAAACATTACAGTATCATAGAACACATATTTCCAATGTGGTCCTCTGTGTACTGATATGTCTTGAAAATGTATGCATGGTTAGTAATTGTGTTATACAGACTGTGATGTTATATTCCGAGGTGTATTTGAAATCAAACTTACTGCCATCAGGCCGTTGACAAGCTTCTCAGAGAATTGCTCTGGTGGCATCATCCCAAGAGCTGGTCGGTTGACAAACGTTCCCTGATACAGATTGTAGAAAATAGTTACACGTTATCAATGGCAAATCTAATGTTTTTCAATTCTCAAGATCAACTTTGCTGCTTACCATATTCTTCGGATCCATCATGACTTTTGTGAGTGCTGGGTGATTGTATCCTGGAAATCGCAGAGAGGAAAAACTCACATTTGAAGTATTTGGGTCTTTCAGTGCTTTGACTCATCCTTGTGGCCAAGAGATTTTCCTGACCACGTGACCTGACCAGGAACAACTCCGGGTCCTATAGAGTAGAATAGAATAGAATACCCACCTATGGGTATGGATGCGATCTGGGTGAAGACATCCAGCATGCGGTTCCCATCCACGTCCACCAGGTAGTTACCTTTACTCTCCTCATAGTCACAGAAGAAGTTCACCTGGACCACACTCTGTAGAGGGGGACAGAGACGTTCAAATGGGGACAGAGAAGAGGCTATCTTCACTGGTGCCATTGCACATGAATCATCATACAAATCCGATATGATATGACTTGTGGACAGAGGAGGTCAAGGAGAATAAACTAGGTGTTTCATGATGTGGATCTCTTCACCACCTCTCTTTTAGTCCTTTACCAGTGACATGACATTTCATTTATATTATATCATATAAATCTGAGTGCCGTGCTATGTGTGTTTCTAACCTGAATCCCATCCAGTTGTCGTGCTAGGATCTGTAGAAAACAACAGTAGAGATGAATGGATACTACCAGTACTTAAGAAACAACCATGTCCAATGCCAAGAGTTTGCAAAACTGTCATCAAGGCAAATGGTGGCTATTTGAAGAATCTCAAATATAAAATATATTTTGATTTGTTTAACAGTTTTTTGGTTCCTACATGATTCCAAATGTGTTATTTCATAGTTTTGATGTCTTCACTATTATTCTACAATATAAAAAATAGTAAAAATAAAGAAAAACCCTTGAATGAGTAGGTGTGTCCAAACTTTTGACTGGTACTGTATATATGTATAGTTTGTTCCCCCTACCATCCCTCCTACCCTGATTGGAGTAAACTAACAGACAACAATACTTTTACTGCTACACAGTTGGCACATTATAGTGAGGGACAGATTTACTAAGCATTTGCAGTAGTGCATAGCTTGCACTTGTTTTTTCCATACGGGAATGAAAAACAATCCAATAAAACTGGCTTTAAGAGTGTCACTTTTCTTGCCTTTGCAAAAGTGCGATAAACGTAGTAGATCTGGTCCTAGCTGTGGCATGGTTGAGAGTTCATATTGAGTTACCTTAGATCTGGGCCCTGGAACCTCAGTCTTCATACAAGGACCATCAAACTCAACTTCCTCAACTCTTTTACCTGTTGTTTGTTGATGGCGGTATCCTATGGAAAATGTGAACGAGATTCTATGGGTTATTTGAGTTATAAAGTTTTGTGCCAACACCAAAAACACATCCAATCAGAGGGAAGTCACAAGACAGTACTGCAAATCACAAATAGGAAGCTAGATATTAATATGGAATGAGTGGGAACAAGAGGAGAGTGCAGAGGTGGGCATTAATGATCAACTGTGTTTTCCAGTTGTGTCTGGTTCTGGCGAGTTGAATGGCCAGTAGGGGTCAAAGACATGAGGCTTGTTTGACTGACAGAAAGTACAGATGTAGGATCTTAATTTGAGTCAGTATGCTACTGCAGGAAAATAATCCTGCAGCAACAGGATAATTCATGGACATTTTTGTAGGACCTTGATCCATTTTATGTAAGAGAATATCAAGTCTGAAATTTCAAAGTGGAAATTACGAACTTCAGAAGTTTTTAAAAACCTCAAATACACTACAAGTTTTACATTTCCTGCATTGCAGGAAAGTTCTCCTGCAACAGCGTGATAAAATTAACATCCAACATAATGTAGTTATGCATTCAGAAACTCAGACATTCCACAATCTCCTTTCTTATAATTGTCATTGTGTTCAACTTATTAGTTATTACCATAATGTTAAATATGTACTATCTTTCTGTAATTAGCATGTGAGAAGCCAGCATTACCTATCACTACACAGCAAATTCTCCAGTGTATATTTTTTAAATATACACTGAGTGTTAAATCAACACTGAAAGTGTGGAGTCTGTGGACCCATATACACACCGGAACAGTGTTAAATTAACACACTGCTTAGTGTAAAGCCTAATTTAAATATTTCCCAGAGTGCCTTGCCTTTCGAGTAAATTGTAGAGTTACCACCCATGACTGAATTTGTTAGTGACAGAGACATGGTTGTTGCATTCATCCATTTTCAGTCCTATGGACCAACAATGATAGATCTACTATGATAAGTTTATGTCCGTTTTAGATTATGGTGATATTATCTATATGCATGCATCGGCAAACACATTAAAACCACTGGATGCTATTTACCATTGTGCACTCAGGTTTATCACGGGTGATAGTTACAAAACTCATCACTGTTTCCTATATCAACATGTGGGTTGGGCCTCTCTATCTGTGAGGCGAGAGCAACATGCTTTCTTGTTTATTTATAAAGCACTTCTTTTAAAACTACCTCCATATATATCATCATTAATTTCCACTAGATATACTAATTTTAAAACCAGATCACAGATGTGGATTACATTAGAGACTCCTGTGGTCTCCACAGAGTTGGGTAGGACTGCCTTCAGTTCCTTTGCACCTTATTTATGGAACAAGAGAGCATGTGGTCCTCTGTAGCTCAGCTGGTAGAGCACAGTGCTTGTAATGCCAAGGTAGTGGGTTCGATCACCAGGACCACCCATACACAAAAATGTATGCACGCATGACTGTAAGTCGCTTTGGATAAAAGCGTCTGCTAAATGGCATATTATTATTATATTATTAACAAACTGCAGATCCAACTTAAGTTAGACACTCTGGTGTCCCTTGCCCATTTTAAAAATGTTATGGAGGATCAATATGATGTTGTCTGTGATTGTTTCTGTTGAATTGTGTTTTTGTTTTGTATGTTTGAAATGTTCTTGTCTGTATGTCTAAAACTGTACATGTCAACATGTTTACACAGGGCACAGCCATTAAAGAGATCCAGGTCTCAGTCTGTTTTTCCCTGTTAAAATAAAGATAAAAAAAATAATAATATACAAGTTTCTCTCCTCTTACCTGAAGCAGACAACCCAAGGCTGGGTCTCAGAGAGGACGCAAGATGGCGGCTTAGAATACTGGAGGCCATGCTCCTCAGCTACCACTGTAGCTGTAGCAAGAATGAAGAATGCAACCAAAAAATAGTTGATTTTCATATTTTCTTGACACATAAATACCAATAAAAAAAATACCAATATTTTATAGGTTATCACACATACAGTATAGTCTTCAAAATTGAATATTCATATCAAATGATGCTGGTTGACTTGACACACATAAAAATGCTCACTAGTTTAAAATGTAACGGAAACACTCACTGTGTGGAAGTGTGAAAATGTGATGGAGGTGGAACCACAAGACTGTATGCCATCGTCCTTACTCCACAGCAGTCTTTTATATCTCAACCACAGCCATTTAGAGAAGTGGGTGTGGAGGTGGGGGACAAATGCTGAATCATCCGGTATACCACACACCACTATCATTGACTAGTAATGTTTTCCTTCCAAGACTGCTCTCCTGGACAGTACAGGGTCAGGTCAGGCCATGACAGTAATTATTGCAGACACAGGATGGATCAAAATAGGTCGGTTTTAGATTAACTTATTTTTATAAGAGGACTTCTATGACAGGTGAGGGTGGGTGGGTTTCATGTAATCATTAATTGCTGAGGTCAAGATTCTTACATCCTGAAATGTCCAGTTTTCCTAAATTTCAAACGTTAAGCATACCTGTTGGTAGACATTGGAACGACAGATTAATTTGGATGAACATGATTAATTTGGATTATTATTATGGCATGAAAACTCACCATTGAGACGTAACTGTGACTTTAACTTATCTTTATTAAGGCATTATAGACAAAAACCTTCCCCGGCTAAAGCTTCTATGTGTAGTACATTCTTGTCTACAGTTTGACATAGGCAACATTCCCATTACATCTCTTGGAATACAAAAGCGTGATAAAACACATTTGTCAACATGTTTTTTTATCAGCATTGCATACAGTGGACAGGTATTGAAATTACATAATTACAAGATTAAAATCTTTGCAACATTTACAGCATAAATATATGCCTAAAATACACTGTACTGCAAGTACAGTATAGTTTAAATACACACTTACAGACATAAATGAAACTTGAACAATGTAACTTTTCAGAGTTGATACGCAGAATAATGCAGATGATAAGTACTGAAGAGGACATTATGAATAAGATAATCTGCAAGTAGGCAGTGAAAAGATTCATAAAAGACTGGTTCATACCCCACAAGGTTACAGTAACATAATTACTACAACAACCAGGTGGTATCAACACAGCAACGAAGGGAGTGAGAGAAACAAAGGATGAAAAGGATTGAGGGAGGGCAGAAGTTCCTAAATGTAGACAAAGCTTGGCCATTCTCCTCCAAAAGTCCACCCTTTCCTTGTTGAGTCTTCCGTCCTTTAAAACATACGATTGGCTGAATCTGTCCGTGATAGATCACATGAGGTACCAGGCAGCCAATCCGGCGACAGCAGCCGCCCAGCTGGCCAGAACCATCTGACCAGCAGGATGCCTCAGCAGCAGCATGGCTAACTGACAGGCAAAGTTAGTGTTGCCACTGGCCACTAGAGAGCGAGAGGAGGAAGAGGAGGAAGAGGAGGGGGAGGAGAAGAAAGAGAAGGATAATAATTCAGTCGTACATATTTTAATGTCTATGACCAATATTGAGTGAAAGTTGGCATTGTGACTTCATTCTGTTACTACTGTTAGTACCAAATGTGTTGTCATATGACTTGACATGTCTAATTGATGCCAAACACAGAAAAAGGAGATCTTAAAGTGTGAGAAGTTCCGGCAGGCAGTTTACCCATTTTGGCAGCGTAGTAAGGGCACTTGTTAACGTCTCCGACCATGTCCCCATGACCATGTCCTGGGAACCCTGCGTCCAACACCTCCTCCTTGATGTTCTTCCCTACCTCCTCCAGCTCTGTGAACACCTGGGGACAGGTAAATATCCAACAACATTAAATCAGCATCACACGACAAATTCCGGCATACATTTTATGAGTGTGATGTTTAAAAGGACTAACCATGTTCCCAAACCCGTTCACATCATTTATATTACCCTTATCAAGTGTTATGGCTTCATATCAGTGTTCTTCAAGCTCAAAACAGCTGTTACGTTAACCACAAGACAGCTGTTAGGATACCTAACATATGTCAGTACTATATGTGGTAGATCACTACTAGCATCATGAAATCATAGCCTGATCCACCATCCTGACTAAACTGTGTGAAGCTAAACAGAATGTAAGTTTGCGAGATCAGACTGGTCGAACGAGGCTAATGAAATCCACCCTAATCAATAATATCTTACCTCCATGTTGAACTTGAAGGCCAGGTTAGACTCGGCTATGATCCTCTCCTTGGTCTCCTGGTCCATCTCCAGCTCGTTCATCCTGCTCCTGTACAGCTGTTTAAAGGCCTTGGCGCTGTGGATGCCCTCAAACTGGTAGAAGTGCAGCCCCTCGCCACTAGAGGGCAGCTTCAGCGCCCGCTGTGCCACCTTCATTAGAATAGGGTTAATTAGAATGAATGAATTAGAATCAATTGGAAAATGCTTACACTGATATGTTTAAAATGTTTTTATTATTTTAAAGATGAACTGAAATCACGTTTTGTTGAGTATAAACCTTATCTCAAAGCTAATACAATGTCATATAAACGTTATTGTGGACTGCAATTCAGTTTCTGTGTTGTAAACTGCCCAAGTGCATCATTGTGGCAGTTGTATCGATATAAGTGTGAAATAAACCATTTTATGTACCTTCTTAAGGATCTGACCCCCAGAGAGGTCACCCATGTAGCGGGTGTAGGAGTGGGCCACCAGCAGGACCGGGTCTTCACGTCCCACTTCGTGGATGCGGTCTACGTATGGCTGGGTGCCCGGGGAGCAGGTGACCTGGTTCAATCAATCAATAATTCACTTAATCAATCAAAGTTACCCAGCCTAGACCCCAATGAGCAAGCAGAAGCAGAAGCAGAGGCACATAGGCTTGAAATAAACTCCCTAGAAGGAAGAAACCGAAGACTGATTCACACTATAAGGTCAAACCAAGTCAAGCCGAGCTGTACTGGGTTGGCCTGGTTACACGTCCACCATAGTTACTGTAACTGTGCACTACCAGCACAGTGCGGTTCGGGTCAGCCCTATAGTGTGAACCAGGCACCAGATAGGAACCTGGCTCAGAGGGGTGACCGGGGCCCGCCCTCTTCTGGCTGCACCTGGTTCTCCCAGTCTTCTCCATAGAAGTACTCCAGGTCTTGGGCCAGAGCCTCACGTCGGTGCAGCTCAGTGGGGAAGTAGATGGGGGCAAACTGGGGGTGGTCCCTGTTCCTCTCTATCTCCTCCTCCATGGCAGTATACACAAAGTAGAGGGCAGCTGTGCCCCGCTGGAGAGAGGAGTGGAGTGGAGGGGGAGAGAGAGGGAGATAGAGAGGGTAGGAGAGAGAGAGAGAGAGGTGAACTATTAACTCACAGGAAGAGAGAAATGCAGGTGATATTCAGTTCAGTTCTAGTCTATTCAGGAATAGAACTGACTAAGGCATCAAGTGAAATATGCTAATATGACATATACAGTAGCACTATTTCAATGCTGCGTTCTAATCCAACTCAACCAATTGACTGAATAAATGAATAGTTTAAATGAATTTGAGCAGGGGTCAATGTGTAAGATGGTTTGTCTGGGCCTGTCAGTTAACCCATTCTTGCCCAGCCCTACAGACTGACCTTAAACAGTTCTCTTTGGATGCGTCCCCTGAGGAAGTCTTTCACAAACTGGCAGTTCTCTGCTCTGTCGTGGGACTCCTTTGTTCCCTCTGCTAGCAACTCTGACAGGTCATCTGGACTGGGGAGGTGAAGAACCGATGGAGGAACAACAGACAGTCACATAGTAAAAAAATATGAAATCATTCACAGGTAAAGACATGCAAGCTGACACTCTTGGTCATAAAATAATGAAGTCCTATATCACTATGCAGGTTGGGGAAGACATGGAGTGAAACAGATACAAAGAACAGGTGAAAACTATGCACTGCTAAGAGCATGTAAACATAGCCTATGTTTATATACCATCATGCCAACTCCTTGTTACTCATTATCATACCAACTCCTTGTTACTCATTATCATACCAACTCCTTGTTACTCATTATCATACCAACTCCTTGTTACTCATTATCATACCAACTCCTTGTTACTCATTATCATACCAACTCCTTGTTACTCATTATCATACCAACTCCTTGTTACTCATTATCATACCAACTCCTTGTTACTCATTATCATACCAAACTTCCAATTGTTGTTATTAGGGCCCCAGGTTTTCCCTGACCACCTAATAATATAATAATATGCCATTTAGCAGACGCTTTTTATCCAAAGCGACTTACAGTCATGCGTGCATACATTTTTTTGTTTTGTGTATGGGTGGTCCCGGGGATCGAACCCACTACCTTGGCGTTACAAGCGCCGTGCTCTACCAGCTGAGCTACAGAGGACCTCACCAATAACCCTAAATCATTATGTATAATTTGACATTGAATAGATTAAAAGGGGTGATAGGCAATCCTAATCAATAGGCTACTACTCCTCAGTACCTGAGATCGTCCTCCTCATCCTCTACTTCAGTGATGATCTCCCCCCCATTCGTCACACCGTTGGTCTTTGTCGGTTCTGGTACATTCTCTGCAGGCATCTTGCTGGTCTGTCTGTCTGTCTATCTGTCTGGTATGCTGTCCGTCCGTCTGGCTTGTTGGTTGGCAGTCCGTCTGACTACCTGTCTGGCTGGTAAGCTGTCTGTCTGGCTGGCTGGCTGGCTGTCTGTCTGGTTGGTTGGCTGTCCGTCCGTCTGTCTGTCTGTCTGTCTGTCTGTGTTTTGCTTCTCTGTGGAGGTGAAACAACAAGAGAGCATTGGTATGATGATAGAGGGATGAGACAGAACCATTAAATGAGGTCCTGACCACAGTAGCTCCGGTGTGCTCCTGTGTTCAAAAGTACTGACACACATGATCCTCTGACATAAGGGGTAGTGTATTACAGTGCTATTATTATGTTCGGACATATCTTTATTTTGGATAGGCCAACAGAAAGTTACAGGTTCCATTCAGACCCATAACATATATTTCTGAATGAGTAGGCTAAGAATTGTATATTTACATAGATATATACATAAACATGCAATCTACAAAATATCATAAAATGTAGATATTTCAATAACTTATAATACATCAAATCAAAACATTGGTCACATGCACAGAATGCTAACTTGCAGCTCTTCCTCAACAGTGCAGAATTAATAATAAAACCAAAGATCCATACAACGCACCGTAGGCTACAGTAGAGTATCAATACAAATAGCATATGCAACAACTTCACAAATGATCATATACTTCTCTATTTGACCTGTCTACGTGCTGGCAACAACATCGCCTGCCATGAGCGACAGTACACTATCGGACAGTTACAAAACTCACTTACATAGCCGTGAGCTTTGTATAACAAGCCCACATGAGTCTAACGTCAATTCCATTACACTAAAATTATATTTGCACGAATTCTCGGTTGCGCATAGGTACATTCGTAAACTTATATCTAGCTCTATCTTTTATGACAACTGAACATATATTGATTATTTGTTTACCTTGTAGTAGATATCAGCCGCAGAGAGTGCAGTAGACTGTTTTCATGCAAAGGAGGCGTGTGTTGAGTCACGCCAGCCATCCAGATTGCTTGCCATAACAGAAAGGCAGACTCGAAGCACACGATGATACAAGAGGACACAGAAATTGAACAGCTAGATTGAATCAAAAACGTACTGTAAACAGGGAATTCTAATGGGTGATGCAGTTGGATACAGCTATTATCTCCATTCGCAGAGATCATGTAACCATGTTGTAATTTATTTTCACAGCTGCGGTTAATTATTGTTTGGACCAGTTCCTTTCCAATTTCTTTTAAATACCAATAGCAAAGCATGAATAAATGGATCAATACAGTTTGCAGTGACATTACCAAGTTAATATCAGGTTAATGTTTCAAGGCCTCAAAACCAAGTTCATATCATCAGAGGAGGGAAACTGTCGGTCCTTTTTTCCAGAAGGCAGCACAACCCTCAATTCATTATTCTTATCACCTATTCCACAATGTAGCGCATTTGTACCAGTGATACTGTCTAAACTAGCATTGGTTGGAGTGAAAGCATAACATTACTAACGTTAGCTCCTTAGACGGATTCCAGTTTTCTGTGACAGATTATAAATAATCTCTGATGCCTTTGTTATATTAGCTTTTGGTTGAATGTACTTCGTAGTAAATATATAATGTTATAGCTTGGTCTGACTAAAATCTTGTGCATGACCCATTTGTGTTGGGCGTTTTGTTTTCAATCAATGCTGTTCCTATCCTATAACAATGGACAAAAGTCCTATCTTGTCAGCCTTGTCAGCAGTGGCCAAGGACAAAACCCACGCCATAGGTCTCTCAGTTCTTCCAACTCACGAGTTCTTGCTCTGAGGACACACACACACACACACACACCACCCATCATCACTGATAACACACACACACACACACATCATCACTGTTAAACACACACACACACACACACAAAAATCCCCTCTCTTTAGGCTGAAATTGAAGACAGAGAACCCGACCAGAGCAATGCAACAGTGGAGGGGACCTCGCCCAACTATCAGGCCAATAGAAGATCAGAACTACTAGATTCAACCTTTTTATAATTGATGGGATGACTAACTTAGAAAGAATGCATTCTTGACTGGGCTAATGTAGGTTGTGTCACCTGGCAAGCTGTGATTGATGTGAAGAGCTGTTTTAGGGGGTAAAATGAGATAAGGATTTGTGTCTCCAAATGCTAGACTATACTGGTTCTTTGTGATCTGTGAACCATCCTTGGACGTAGGAATGGTGTCTAAGGGAGCTGGCTCTTCTCACTATGACAGGTTGTTATGATAAACGTATGCCTGGTAACAGAAGAGGCGGAGAACAGCCGGTGCGCCAACGGATAGGCTGAGTAAGTCTAAACCACGCTCAAGTCTCTACTCTGATTGGCCAGCAGAGAGGTGGGAAACTCTCTCTGTAAGAGTATTTGAAGAACAATCTGAAACAATGGATTTAGTTCTCTGAAGTGCCCTGCGAGGTATTTCAAAGAGCCCGTATATACGAAACATCATATTTACCATTGAAGGTTTTTGCATTAATTAAAATAACTAGTATATCTTAGAAGTCGTGTTGACCTCTTTTGTTCCTAATGCCAGATTTGAATTGACGCAACTTTGACAAAACAATGAAAGTCACCCAGTAAAATAGTACTTGGGTAAAAGTCTAAGAGTATTTGTTTTTAAATATACAGTACCAGTCAAAAGTTTGGACACACCTACTCATTCAATGGTTTTTCTTTATTTGTTACTATTTTCTACATTGTAGAATAATAGTGAAGACATCAAAACTATGAAATAACACATATGGAATCATGTAGTAACCAAAAAAGTGTTAAACAAATCAAGATAAATATTTATATTTGAGATTCTTCAAATAGCCACCCTTTGCCTTGATGACGGCTTTGCACACTCTTGGCATTCTCTCAACCAGCTTCACCTGGAATGCTTTTCCAACCGTTTTGAAGGAGTTCCCACATATTCTGAGCACTTGTTGGCTGCTTTTCCTTCACTCTGTCGTCCGTCTCATCCCAAACCATCTCAATTGGTTTGAGGTCGGGGGATAGTGGAGGCCAGGTCATTTAATGCAGCACTCCATCACTCTCCTTCTTGGTAAAATAGCCCTTACACAGCCTGGAGGTGTGTTGGGTCATTGTCTTTTTGAAAAACAAATGATAGTCCCACTAAGCCCAAACCAGATTGGATGGCGTATCGCTGCAGAATGCTATGGTAGCCATGCTGGTTAAGTGTGCCTTGAATTCTAAATAAATCACAGACAGTGTCACCAGCAAAGCACCCCCACACCATAACACCTCCTCCTCCATGCTTTACAGTGTGAAATACACATGCAGAGATCATCCGTTCACCCACACCACGTCTCACAAAGCCACGGTGGTTGGAACCAAAAATCTCCAATTTGGACTCCAGACCAAAGGACACATTTCCACCGGTCTAATGTCCATTGCTCGTGTTACTAGGCCCAAGCTAAATGTAGTTACTATGTGCATAATCATCCATGTGTCCCACATTTATATTCTAATTTTATTCACAGTGAGCCTGGGAGGAGAATGCCGAACCCTGCATTACCTCACCACCAGGTAAGGAAGGGGAATGGAGAGGTAATTAGAACAGAACAGAGGGAGAGAGAGGACATAACATCTCAATTCATCTTTCCTCGATTCCTTGCATCATATCTCCTCGCCTCCTTTTCAACTGTATCGGAGTATGTAAGTTAGGAGCCGTAATATTGACATCAAAATGGTTATATTTGGCTGCCAAACTTGCTCCCACCATTATTAAATGTCATGTTGTTAATTATTTTGCTTTCCCCATCATCCCAGAATCGAATCAGTGGGGGAAGCAGCGCTCTTGTAACCTGCACAGTTTTCCCCACTATCTCAACACAAGATTTAAATAATATTACACAATTCTAAAATGATTTAATTCAATTGATATTATAACAATATTTATTAGGATCGATGTTAAACTGAAGCTGAAAGACTGACATTCATTAAACAGGTCTTTCTTTTATCTCCCTTCAACAAGCGCTATTATGGTTGGAGGATATAGTGGCGGTCGGTGCCTTTAAGATGAGGAAGGACAATGTTTGTTTTCATGAGCATGGCCTTATTTCTATTACAGCATATTGGATGACTGTCATTCATATTCCACTCACCCATTTCAATGTAACATCTATAGGTTTAGGCTACTACATGACACTCAAATTATCCATATAGCCATCATGAGGTTGCTACAACCTAGCCTATGAATGAAAGTTTACAACGTAGGGGCACAGGTAAAGATCATTTTTAGTAATCAAGGTGACAGACAGCGACACATTGAATAACGCCTTGCACACTCTTGCCTGCATCTAGCTGATCTAGGGTGTAATCATTAGTCCATCAGTTGCAAAATATAATTTATTTTGGACAAATTCAGGTATGTTAATCCCGTTTCGTTTGCTTCCGTTTAAAGAAACATTTTTCAACAGAATCGGCAGAATGAATACACCCCTGATTACACGCAAATACAGTTCACTTTCATAGCAGCCACATACAAACAGTATGATCTCTTTGCTTGTTGTAATTCCTTCTCGCATCTATGCGCTCTCCTCCTTTCTCATCTTTTCCCTTTGCTTGTGGACTTCAGTGCACAACACTTCAACTGTCTGTGATCTGGCGAAAAAACCTTTCCAAGCCAAACCTTCATATCATATCCACTAACCGCTACACACAGCCTACATCGTTGTCACCATATTATCTAACGTCATAGTCAACATAGCTAATAGAACTAACGTATTAGTAAACCCGCTACAATCAGTCAGCAAGCAGTTTAGCAGTTACACCGGCGGGCCCTGGTGGCAATAAATGTATAAAACCAAAAGCTTACCTTGACTTGGAAGAGTTTCAGTGTTGGATAGCCATAGCCAGCTAGCTAACATAGCGTCCCTCTCTATTTGATCCGGGTGTAGCTAGCTAGCTAAGTAAGTGAAAGTGAAAAAAAAGACTATAAAATATACAGTGGGGAAAAAAAGTATTTAGTCAGCCACCAATTGTGCAAGTTCTCCCACTTAAAAAGATGAGAGAGGCCTGTAATTTTCATCATAGGTACACGTCAACTATGACAGACAAAATGAGGAAAAAAAATCCAGAAAATTACATTGTAGGATTTTTTATGAAGTCATTTGCAAATTATGGTGGAAAATAAGTATTTGGTCAATAACAAAAGTTTCTCAATACTTTGTTATATACCCTTTGTTGGCAATGACACAGGTCAAACGTTTTCTGTAAGTCTTCACAAGGTTTTCACACACTCCTCCATGCAGATCTCCTCTAGAGCAGTGATGTTTTGGGGCTGTCGCTGGGCAACACAGACTTTCAACTCCCTCCAAAGATTTTCTATGGGGTTGAGATCTGGAGACTGGCTAGGACACTCCAGGACCTTGAAATGCTTCTTACGAAGCCACTCCTTCGTTGCCCGGGCGGTGTGTTTGGGATCATTGTCATGCTGAAAGACCCAGCCACGTTTCATCTTCAATGCCCTTGCTGATGGAAGGAGGTTTTCACTCAAAATCTCACGATACATGGCCCCATTCATTCTTTCCTTTACACGGATCAGTTGTCCTGGTCCCTTTGCAGAAAAACAGCCCCAAAGCATGATGTTTCCACCCCCATGCTTCACAGTAGGTATGGTGTTCTTTGGATGCAACTCAGCATTCTTTGTCCTCCAAACACGACGAGTTGAGTTTTTACCAAAAAGTTATATTTTGGTTTCATCTGACCATATGACATTCTCCCAATCCTCTTCTGGATCATCCAAATGCACTCTAGCAAACTTCAGACGGGCCTGGACATGTACTGGCTTAAGCAGGGGGACACGTCTGGCACTGCAGGATTTGAGTCCCTGGCGACGTAGTGTGTTACTGATGGTAGGCTTTGTTACTTTGGTCCCAGCTCTCTGCAGGTCATTCACTAGGTCCCCCCGTGTGGTTCTGGGATTTTTGCTCACCGTTCTTGTGATCATTTTGACCCCACGGGGTGAGATCTTGCATGGAGCCCCAGATCGAGGGAGATTATCAGTGGTCTTGTATGTCTTCCATTTCCTAATAATTGCTCCCACAGTTGATTTCTTCAAACCAAGCTGCTTACCTATTGCAGATTCAGTCTTCCCAGCCTGGTGCAGGTCTACACTTTTGTTTCTGGTGTCCTTTGACAGCTCTTTGGTCTTGGCCATAGTGGAGTTTGGAGTGTGACTGTTTGAGGTTGTGGACAGGTGTCTTTTATACTGATAACAAGTTCAAACAGGTGCCATTAATACAGGTAACGAGTGGAGGACAGAGGAGCCTCTTAAAGAATAAGTTACAGGTCTGTGAGAGCCAGAAATCTTGCTTGTTTGTAGGTGACCAAATACTTATTTTCCACCATAATTTGCAAATAAATTCATTAAAAATCCTACAATGTGATTTTCTGGATTTCTTTTTCTCAATTTGTCTGTCATAGTTGATGTGTACCTATGATGAAAATTACAGGCCTCTCTCATCTTTTTAAGTGGGAGAACTTGCACAATTGGTGGCTGACTAAATACTTTTCCCCCCCACTGTAGCTAGCTCTCTCTCTCCCTCACTCTCTTGCTTCTCCTTAATTTTTGAAGAAATGAATTTGTTCACTAATGTTCAACTATTGTCTTTCTCTCTCTTTGAGTCAACGACTCACCAGATTCTATGCACTGCAGTGCTAGCTATCTGTAGCTTATGCTTCCAGTACTAGATTGTGGTCCTCTGTAGCTCAGCTGGTAGAGCACGGCGCTTGTAATGCCAAGGTAGTGGGTTCGATCCCCGGGACCACCCATACACACAAAAAATAAAAATAAAATGTATGCACGCATGACTGTAAGTCGCTTTGGATAAAAGCGTCTGCTAAATGGCATATTATTATTCATTGGGTGGACAAAATGTCAGTTCATGCTGCAAGAGCTCTGATAGGTTGGAGGACGTCCTCCGGAAGTTGCCATAATTACTGTGTAAGTCTATGGAAGGGGGTGAGAATGAGCCTCCTAGGTTTTGTATTGAAGCTAATGTACCCAGAGGAGGACAGAAACTAGCTGTCCTCCGGCTACACCATGGTGCTACCCTACAGAGTGCCGTTGAAGCTACTGTAGACCTTTATTGCAAAACAGTGTGTTTTAATCAATTATTTGATGACATGTTAATATATTCAGCATAGTTTTATCTAAAAGGATGGTCCTCCCCTTCCTCCTCTGAGTAGCCTCCACTGGTATATACTGTATCAGTTATCCTGTTAGAGCTTTTGTGTCAAATCTACTGCAGTGTGGCCAGAGTCAGAGGTGTTGTATGCTGAGGCAGTGAAGAAAGTAGCGGAGGATGGGTCAATGGTGAGGGATCCTGAGATGATACCTGTGAGTAGTAGATCTGTGCCAGCACAGAGGGATAGGCCAATGAGTGATATATGCTTCAGTAAGGTTGGCTTAGCGTTCATAGCAATGGTTATCCACTGTACTGCAGAAATGGAATGTAAATCACAGAAAATAGATGCTGTGGTGGCAGCTGCAGAGAAGTATTTGGGTATACAAGATTTTACTTCAGAAGAGTTGCAGGGTGTGTTTAGTTGTGGTGTCCCGTCCTCCCAGGTCCGTGGCATGGTAGGGTCAAAGTATTTTATTTTATGGTGTTTTTTATTTGTATTTTTATGAAATAGTGCTGTATAGGGGGGAAAAAACAACTAACTGGTTAGTTAGTTGGTACAAATTGTTATTTTATTTTTCTTCCTTTTTTATTTTGTATCACTAAATGTAACATGATTGAACACACAGTCCCGCACAATGCAAACGCTATGATACCAAAGAAGAAGAGATTGAGAGGCCGTCCTTTATTTTTTATTTTTTACACAACCACCCATACTTGGAGAAATCAGGAAAATTGCATTGCATTAGCTAGGCTGGTGCAGGTCGGCTAGCTGACAGGCTCACTTTCCCGTTGAACTCGTCATATTTCTTCTCTTATCCGCAGGACATTAAACAATATAGAGGTAAGATGGATGTCGATTTTGTTATTTCTAAAAGATTTCTCACAAAAACAAGCTCTGAGCGTATTTTGCTTTTTGGAACGTTAATGAAAAGTTAGAGAAAGTGAATAAACAGATTTGTCTTCGTAAAATGTATTTTATAACATAAGGAACTGACATTTCATCACCGAAGCACAACCTAATTGTACTTTATAAAGTTGTTGAATCAAATTGCAATCACTCTAGAATAATTGTCTTACTTTTTCAACTCGAAAAGGTATTAACAAAACATTGACAAATACTGTTAACTTGTCAAAGGTAGCTATGTGGAAATTGCTCTGGTTGCTGAAATTCTAATGGTTCTCTTATTTCAGTTTATGTGACAAAACAAGCTATCCATTGTACCTTTATAAAACGCTGTGAAACACATTTTCAATAACTCAAAATATAGTATTTTTAGCTATTTGAAGCTTGTGTACAAAACCGAAAGTTAAAAGACCCAAAAATGAAACTTAAGGACGGGAAACATAGAAACATACGCACATAGAACGCATCTACCGCTTCTCAGACGTGCTTTCAATGGGAGTGACAGATCTACAACTCACATTTTCAGTCTTGTTTGTGTGTGTGCCCATTGTTGTACTTTCTATTCTAGCATCATAAAATGGCTGCCAATCCTGATTACCAAGCAATTGATTTGCCAAGAGATAGAGATAAAGAAAATAGAGGTTCTGTGCCAGGGGAAACGGATAAAATGCTGGCAACCCAAGTAACTGATAACATGAGCTCTGATGAAACGAGGTAAGAGGAGTATCCTATGAAATATCTATAGTCAGGGAAGTGTTACCAATTTAATTATGTGAAAGAAAAACTAGCCATTTTAGAACAACATTTGTAGCTATAAAATTGCATGTTTTGTGATTGTATTCCATTATAAATATGAACAGTTATGTCCAAATAAAGTAGGCTTTTAACTCAAGCTGGAGTTGAAAATGTTATTATGTTTGTATCAGGGAAGGAAGTAAAAAAACACCAGTGTCTTACAACATGGATAGTGATCGGTCCATGCGTCAACCAATAACATTCAACAGTGGAATCCGTACATCTGTGAAATGGTGAGACGCTGTCTTCTGAAATATTTATGTAAAACATTAGTCAAACTCTCTTTGTTTTGTTGTACTTTAATAACAGAGTTGGCTCACAAACTGACCTGCAAACTTCTACTCTCCTGAAAAAAATTAACATTAACTAGACAATATTAATTTTTAGAGATCTAACCACTTTTGACAAACATTTCAGACCCTGGTCTTCTCTCTCTCTCTTGCTCTGTTGTTGCTAGGAGCCAGCAAGTAGAGACAGAGTACCAAGTGTTTACAGTCGGCTCAGCAGAATGTGAGGTTGATTTATATGGATCTGGTCTTCATACAAATCAGAGGTACAGTATGTATGCCCATAATGCAAACCAGATATACACCTTTGTTTTGGTGTTATGAGGAAGCCTAGCCTGAACTATTTATTTATTTCCTATAGTGTAAAAGTGTTTGTTGTTCATAGTACTGAATGCTGTCTTATCTACTATCATGTACCATCATGGGGTGGCAGATAGCCTAGCGCTTAAGAGCGTTGGGCCAGTAACCGAAAGGTTGCTGGTTCGAATCCAGCGACCAATCTGTCGATGTGCCCTTGAGCAAGGGCACAATTAACCCTAATTGCTCCTGTGAGTCACTCAAATGTAAAACACTTTTTTTTATGTAATGCTGTTAATCCTTTGCTATGGACATGCATGTGTTCTAAACACTTCATGAGTAAAATTACCCTATCAAATAAACTTGCATGTAACGGGTGGCTTCATTCAGCTTTAACCTTTCTACAGCCCTACCTTTGAGGACCCTGCTTTAGGCCAGATGGAAGATAGGAGAATAGTACATCGTACCAGACTGGACTGTACCATATGTATGCAGCGCAGTGACAAAGCTGTGAAGTTCTGCGAGGATTGCAAGGCTACTTTCTGTGAGAACCATGTTAGAGACCACTACCAGGCCCCAGGACTGATGAAACACACATTGGTGGAGGCCACTGAAGGATGGAAAACCATTCCAAATGTAGACGATCACGTCCATGAAACGTATGTTGGAACAGAACAAACTGCGACTCAGGTTTGTGTGAAATGTCTATTTGGTCCCCTGATAGAAATGGTCAAGAAAGGTATTGACTAGGGTTGCAAAATGACGGTAACTTTCCTTAAATTCCCCAGTCTTCCAGAAATGAGGATTCCGGATTTCCTCCTTATTTCCTACTTATTCAGGAAATCTTCCAACAAAGATTTCTGGAAAACCTGTGAATTTGGGAAAAGTTACCAAAAATGAGCAATCCTAATAGTGACCTACAGTACATGATGTACTTACATGACTCTCCTTCATAGGTCTGCTCATGGAAAACAGCCTTCTTTTCCAGTCTTCTGGGGATTCTCATACTGGTACTTGCCCTGGTAGGACTTGTATGTTATACACACCTGTGTGTCACTGTACACGGTGAGTTTATTAATTGTTATTTCTTTATTTCTCGTTTTGTCCCAGTATTAATATTTTTCACTTATTCAATTTAACCTTTTAACTTGTACAATTTGAAAACCTCTTTTAAATGCCCCGCATGCATCTCTGCAGGGTCTGAGGTGGGATTTCAGCAACGGATTGTTCTGTTGGGGAAGACTGGATCAGAGAAGAGAGCAGCAGGAAACACCATCCTGGGGAGAGAGGCCTTTAAAATGGAGGCTTCACCTTTGTATGGGTCAGAGTGTGAGGAACAAGATGCTGTTGTGGGCCGAAATAACATAACTATGATTAACACCCCAGATGTGTTGCCGTCTGAGGAAGTTGCAGGTAAAGTAGCTGAATGCATCAACATCTCAACACCTCACGTCTTCCTGCTAGTGATCAGGCTGTGCAATTGGTGCACAGAAGAGGAGAAGAACACTGTCAAATGGATGAAGGAGAACTTTGGGGAGGAGGCCCTTAAATACACCATGGTGCTGTTCACTGGTGGAGACCAGCTAGAAGGGAAACCAGTGGAGGAGTATCTAATGGACAACAGTGATCCCCTAAAACTCCTCAGTATGTGTGGTGGCAGACATCACGTCTTCTATAACAAAGACAAGAATAAGCTCACTCAGGTCACAGAGCTGCTGGAGAAGATAGATGGATTATTGAATGAGAATAGGGGATACTATCATGTGACAAACATCTTGACCCGGAGGGAAGAGGAGATCGGGAGCAGGGAGAAGGCTCTGAGAAAGATACTAGAACAGGAGGTTAGAAAGAGGGATGCAGCCATAGCAACGATAAGAGAGGAGGAGGTTAGAAAGAGGGATGCAGCCATAGCAACGATAAGAGAGGAGGAGGTTAGAAAGAGGGATGCAGCCATAGCAACGATAAGAGAGGAGGAGGTTAGAAAGAGGGATGCAGCCATAGCAACGATAAGAGAGGAGGAGGGGAAAAAGAGGGAGACTGAAGAGGGGGAAGATGAAGGGAGGAAGGCCATTGATGATCTGGCAGTGAAAGTCTCAGGCTCAAAAATGTATGTAGGAGTAACGGTGATCACAATGATCATCTTAATTGTCCTTTAATGATACTAAACTGAACATTAGGGAGTCTCTTCATTTGATATTCGCAATCATCATCTGAACATTAGGTAGTCTCCATTCATCATCTCTTTGTAGAGCAGGGTGACCTCTGAAAACAAAACAAGTTTACAGATGAAAATTATTAAAAGTTAATTGATCAATTGTTGATCAATATGTTAATTGATTAATTGTTAGAAGTGGTTTTATATATTCTTTAAGAACATATCTCCCATGAAAACCTGGTGTTTAGAGAAATCTGCACTTTGTGTTATGGAGAATTACCAAAGGGGGAGCGGGGCTTCTTGTCTAATCTCTGGATGCCATGGAGTGATTTCTACTGTAAGAGTCACTGTAATGGAGATCAAGGTTAACTCTTTAAATGCTTCAGTTTAAAACTACATTATTGATTTATTGATGTTTAACAAGCTGTATTTAAACAGAAAGTGAAGTGAGAGGCAGTTTTTAACAATTTGTTGACTGTAATGGCCATTTGAATGAGTTGAATAAAGCTGATTATTAATCGAGAACTCTCTCCATTCAGTCTGTCTACTAACTGTCTGACTGCCCAGTAGAGGTCAGGATAGTCAAGGATATTACTCTGTTTTTCTACTGATTATTTTACACATTGTCCCAAAATCAGGGCCCATATTCACAATGAGTCAGAGTAGGAGTGCTGATGTAGGATCAGTTTAGCCTTTTAGATCATAATGAATCAGAGGGGAGACCTGATCCTAGATTAGCATTCAAACTCTGAGGGGACCTGATCCTTTCATCATGTATGTTACCTACTGCTCCCCCTTTTAAATGCCTGTTATCTTTGTTTATGTATTACATTTTGATTAAATGTATTTAGATTGATTAACGCTTCATAGTGGAAATCTGTTTCTATCCAGTCTGTCAATTATAGTGAGTCATCCAGTTACTTACTGCCCCTCTAATGCTGCATTCATAACCAAGTGGGAAGGTGGTATTTATCCATTCGACTGGGAAAAATCGAATTGAACGCCCCTCCTACTGGTAATTACTAGTGGGAAACTCGTCTATCATCCCTGAGCTCCGACTTCTCCCACATGCTGACCTCTGACGTCACCTACTAAGGAAATTACCTTGATAACAGCATTTTCGGCAGTTAAATGCAACAACAATAAAAAAAAAACAATAATAAGCAGTCTATTAATATGATTTTTGAACACTATAATTGGTTGTATAAGAAATGTATATGTTGGGGGACAAGGAAGGGTAAAGATCATATTGAATTATACATTTCTTATACAGCACGATAGCTGTACCTTTAGTTTATGGTTGACGCAGCTTGTTGGCCATTTGCCAATCAACGAGTTCAAAGCACGTGAATGCTTCCAACTGGTGTTTACGAATTGCTGGACCCAGTTTAAATGTCCTTTAATAAAACCAATGTCAAAACATTAATGCAAAATATCAATGATGCATTTTGTACCACATCAGGGAAGGGCAGTTGGCTAAGCTACTACCGGGAACTGCTCAGTGCCAGAGGTCAGCTAGTTACTGGGTCGTTTCACAAAAAAAGTGCCTTTTGCGTCCCTTTGATATTTTAAGTAGAAATTGTGTACCAATATTTAATTTTAAAAGCCTGTTATATTAAATAAAGTGCCCTTTAATATAGACTAAATGGAGAATTCAATAAATCAAAATGTTTATATAAATAACGCCTTGCTAAAGTGACAAAATTCAGCATTTTCAAAATTCAGCATTCAGCAACCCTGTGTCAGTTATTCCCAACATTTCTCAAAGTTTCACCATCACTGTAAAGCCCTAGTTATTTTGTTGCTTTGACAAAGTAATTTCTGAAGGTTATTACTTGTTTCATATGATTAGTGATTCATTTACGTCTGTCCCTCATTTTAAGGTCAACCTTGTTACGTGAACTGAACTCTTGTTTTAATATGGTGAAACTATTCTTTTTTATTTATTTATTTTATTCAAAAGAAACATTGAACATCTAATAGTCAAACCATAGAGTAAAAGCAGGTGAGCTGGTTCTACTCTTTTTGGCTATTTTCTGGTCTTTTGTGGTGGAAAATTGAGCAGGTCAAACATAACGCCAACTGTTACCCATAGATAGACAGGCTAGAGATGTTTTAACAATACAAATAATTTGTGAAGCTTGCATTCAATTGCCACTCCCTGTTGCACACAACAATCTTCCGTTCCTCCTGTCTCAAGGGGATTTATGGTTTGATTTAAAAATAAATTGTCAACCCTATTATGGTCAACCCTGTTACTTTATTTGGCACTTAATATGCAATTACTATGGTCATGATTTTATTTAACCTCTTGAGATGGTAAAACATGTTTTATGAAGTTGTGCTCTTTATGACAGAATGTTAAAATTAGGTGAACTCAAACGTTTCTTTTGGTGGAATGACCTTGGTGGAACGACCTTGCTATGTGGGGCCTAGAAAGTTGCTACAGTATCTCTATTAGAACACGTGACTCCCCAATGGCCTCATTTGAATCTCCATAGACCACGTTCATGCCATCAGGGGAGGGAAAGAGTCGGAAGAAAAGAGGTTGAAGTTCTGTTTTCTTTAACTAAGCTGAGCTGCAGGACTGCAGAGCGTGTTGCCTTTCATAACTACCAGCATGATCTTCCAGCGTTTTATTTTAATTACTGGTGTCAGGTGATACTGGCCAAAAGGAAGCTAAGAAATGATGAAATTAAAGGGAGCTAGGATAGGAGGAAAGGAGGAAAGGGATCTAGGATATAAGAGTTCACATGTATGTTGTAGGGATTCACCATGGCCAGTAGATGGCGTTATTATTCCTTTTCAATCTGACTATCCACAAAAATTGCATTATGTGTTCATGTAACCGCACTCAATGACTGCTTGTTTTGTCACATGAACTGAAATTAGGTGTACTATTCTAATTTTAGCAACCAGAAAATGTCGTTGCGATTTCTGCATATTGCACCTTTAAGACATTTGTTTCTAACATGGGGGACCCAGGTTCAGATCCCACAATTAACACATCTATGCTTGTCGGGCTTTTCCTTCATCAATCAATCAAAGTCACCAGTGCACTCGCTCGTGAGCTGGCTGCTCTTTCTAAATAGTTGGTAAACCTGTTCAAAACAGTGGCAGCATGTGCACTGGTGATTCAATTTTTAACGTGAAAAATGAATTTGTCTTTAACAAAACAAATGGCTGATATACATAAAGTATATGGGCATTAAATTACCTGATCCTAGATTAGCGCTCCAACTCTGAGACACTTTATGAATACAGGCTCCTGAACTCTGTGTAGGACTATCTAAAAAGTGAGAGAAAATACACTTGTACCTGCAACCTAAAGAAAGGCATTTTCAGGCCTTTTTGTGTACATGTTAACTGACCACTTGAACAATATTCGGTAAGCCTAATGTAGACAATTCATCCTGCAATAAAACCAGGTTCAGATCTTTATACCTACTCAGCATTACTTAATAATGTGTTACATCACTCTATATGTTATGTTGGGTTATCCAAACATGCCCCCATAGATACAGAGACAGAAATATGATTATTTTGTTGGGATGAGTGACAATGCACAGTAAATGTATAGTTTACAGGTCGTCATGTTCAGTACATACTCTATACGGTATATTCTCTATACCCCCTATAGGTTTACACCTGGTGAATCAATACATCATGTCTAATGTTATTATATTATTCTGAATCTGTACATTACACTGAAAATACCATGAATAAAGCATTACAAATAAGTAATATCTAAGAACACATCTGGGATATCAGATTGGGGATTGAGTATTATATTATACTCAAAGCTCTTAACCACTAGGCTACCTGCCACCTAGGGGCCCTGTCAAATATAATGTGCTATATAGGGAATAGGCAGGGGGCCATTTGGGACATCCTCTGGCAGCTTCAAGGGGCCTTTTAATGTCTTGAAGGGCCCTTGAAAATGACCCTTGATTCCCTTCACTGTACTGTATAGGGGGAAAGTCCCACTTTTACTTGTTGCTCCCTATCACTCCTGCGATGTCCACCCTCTCTTGTTTGTTTTGTCATTGTTATTAGGGGGGACGACCTTCCTATGATCAACAATATTACATTGACCTCGACTCCTGCCGGACCGGCCCAAGCTATTTCATATTGAATGCAATTTCCTGTGTTTATTAATGTTTTCGTCTCCTTTTCAGGCTGTGATGCTCGTTAGGAACAATGAAACAATATGAACAATATGTAAGAAGATGTGTGGCGTTATTTGAGAGTAGACTCATAGCCACAAGTGTGTCTGACTACTAGTTCCTCTCCCTATGGGGACATCAATCA